TTAGCAAATTAAAAATGATGCTAATCTACTTATAAAATAATAAACAAAGCCATGCAAGCTTATTATCTAAAACAGATAGCCAGAAAAGAGATGACGTTCAAGATTAGCACACGATCCATTTTGCTTTGAACCGCTGTTCTACTAGTGAATTAATAAGAATCATCATTTCACTAGAATTGCCAAAGACTTTAAGAATATTGGAATTCAATTTTGCATTATGCTCCAAGTAAACGTACTTGAAGTATAGACAGATATGCTAAAACTATGAATAAGCAAGCTTATATTGACCGTAGAATGCGGTTATAAAAGCCTTTGCTCTTAAAATCAAATATTATGCTTATATTGAAAAATTCCACCAATCTGATTTTTTTCTTTTTTCAATCTAATTGGAAATTAAACATGGGGAATTAATTGTAATAGAATATTTTTGTTTCAGATAATTATATATAGAAAAAAAACGAGTTGTTTATGAGGGGGTATATAGATGAGTTGGTAATTGAAGATGATAAAGTGTCACAGGACACTGTGAGTTTATACGAGTCCCTTGGCCTCTTTGCTACACTAAACAATACCTCAATAAAGCTATGCAGCACCCGAGACACGTATATAAAGTCATTCGATGGGAATTTGAGGTTATGCATTGGTAGAAAGCACTACGATGAAATCATGAATCAAAAGCTTATAGAAAAAAGAAAGGAGCAAGATCAGACGGTAATCTACGATAACATTGGAACGGAGATTATATTAGAGGCAAAAAAGTCCTATTCCGATATCCGATTAGGTGTTTTAACAAGTGGGGGCGATTCACCAGGAATGAATTCTGCAGTCCGAAGTATAGTGCGATACTCCTTAAAAAATAATATCAAAGTTTTTGGAATATATCGAGGCTTTGAGGGATTAATCAGAGGTGATATTAGAGAGCTAGGTTGGGACAATGAAACTCATAGTAGTGGCCAAAGTGGAACATATTTACTTTCTGCTAGATCCGAGAAGTTTAAAACACGTAAAGGTCGAAAAGAAGCTGCATTTAATCTTTTAGTCAGGAATATTAATGCATTAGTGGTTATAGGCGGAGAGGGTAGTATGGAGGGTGCACTTATTCTGAAAGAAGAATTCAAAGAATTGTGTGAGGAGATTATAGCAGAGGGATGGTTAAATTCTTCAAAGATAGAGACGATAAAGAACGAAAGAACATGGATAAAAGACTCACCACATAGTACAACACCAGTGGACAGTATATCACAATCAGATAAGCTAACTACTAAAAGTCTCAGCACAGAGAAAGTGGAGGATGTCATTGTTGACTATTTAGGACCCGAAGCTTCGGATGAATTTAATTTCAGCGTTAAAAAGCCATATGATATTCAGATAGTAGGCATACCAGGCACTATTGACAATGACATTATTGGTACAGACTTTACTCTTGGCAGCAACACTGCAATAACTAGGGTGGCGGAGGTTGTTGAGAAACTAACATCAACAATGAGGTCACATAAGAGGGTATTTGTGTTGGAATGTATGGGTAGAAATTGTGGATGGATAACGCTAATGGCAGGGTTTGCAATAGGAGCGGAATATATCTTTATCCCTGAAGCACCCCCTAAAGACTGGAGATGTGAAATGATAAAATCGTTGAAAACAGCTTATTTTAATCACAAGATGAATATTTTTGTTTTTGTGTCAGAAGGCGCAATAGATTCAGAAGGTAATAGAATAACAACATCCGAAATTAAACAGGAGATCCGAAATGCAGGCATGGAAGTGCGTAGTTTAGTTCTTGGCCATGTCCAGAGGGGTGGGATGACTGCTGCACAGGATAGGTTTTTGGGAACAGTGTTTGGATTGAAGATTGTTGAATATATAATGGGTGGGTCAAATATTCCCGTGATGGCTGCCAATGTCAGCGATGAATTTATTTTTGTAGATTTATATGAAGTTGTGAGAAAGTCCAAAATGGTGAGAAAATATTTTATCAAAAAGCGATATGATGAGGTATTGAAAATGAGAAATGAGTATTTTCAGCAAATTTATTGGATACATGAACGATATCGACACAGCCTGAGCCAGAAGTTTTTCAAAGAACACTTGTATCCCAGAGAATATTCAATAGGCTATCTGCATGCTCACAACGAAAAGAAACTTGACAGTTCCAGCTTGATCTCAGAAAAGGTAGAGAAGCTATTTATGATAAAAAAAAGATTAAGGATTGGTGTTCTAATGGAAGGACCTAGCTCAGGAGGGATGAACACTGTGCTAAATAGTTTAGTGCAATTTGGACTATGCAAAGACGTGGAAATTTTTTATTTTTTTAACGGTTATAATGGCATGATAAATGTTAATGTTAGAAAAGCCGATCTCTTTGAATTTTCCCTAGTTGATAACCAGGGTGGAATCATTATTGGAACATCAGACACAAAAAACGTAGACATCAATACTATTGAAAGAAGAATAGAAGAACTTCAGATAGACTATCTAATAGTAGTTGGTGGAACAGTAAATCTAAAGCTGGCACGTACAAATACTAAAATAATCATTATACCTTGTACCATATCAAATAATTTTCCCGGTTCAGATATGAGTATTGGAAGCGATACAGCGTTAAACGCAATTTTAATAGCTTCTGAGGCTTGTCGCCTGACAGCCATGTCGATAAAAAAGACTGTCTATGTAATTGAAATTGCTGGCGGAAAATGTGGATATTTAACAGTTATTGGTGGAATTTCTTGCTCTGTCTTTGATGTAATCAGTCCAAAAGTCAATAAGCTTGAAGATCTAATTTTGACCAAAAAAAAAATCAAAACCGCTTTAGAAAAGCAAGGAAGCAATTCTGTGATGATTTTCAGGAATGAAAGCACATTCGATTATATGACTACTGAAAGTCTCTGCAAGATACTGTGTTCGGATGAAAGTATTGCATATAACTACAGTGTGTTAGGCCACTTAGAAAGAGGTATATTGCCATCGGTATTGGATCGTATTCATGCACGATTGTCAGCGTATAAAGCCATAGAAGTATGTTTAAACCAGGTTACCAGCGGTGTGATTGGAATATGCAATGGAAAGGCGATTTTCAGCTCAGTTGAGAGTGTTTTGAAAAATTATGATGAGATGAATGATACTACAAAAAATCCCAAATGGCAAAAATATTCAACAATATGCTCACTAATGGAATAAATTTCAACGTCTTTCAACACTAATACACTTTCCAAAAAATAATGTGATAGTTTTGAAGTGCATAATTTAAAAAAATTCATGGATTGATATCATCTAAGCTTTAAATGATTAAAAATCAATTAGCAATTAATCAACTCGGATTTATTCACAATTCATGACAGCACACTATGTTTGTAATTTAATTTAAACTACATTTGTGATCATTACACAATGACTTTTATTTTGATTTAAATTGACATATTGAGTGATCAGTAAAAATCAATAAAAACAAACAATATTGAGGATTCTTATTCTTGAATTATTAATAGTACAATAATTTAGAACAGGTCCTCTTTAATTAAATACTCGTTGCTTGAGTAGTTTTTCTATATAATTTATAGTTATGTCAATGAGTATAAAATCAATGCCCTTTCACAATAAGCTTAAATCAAAAGAGTAATTACTAAATTGATTTTTTTATGATCATAAACTAAAGTTGGTATTTAAAATTGTAAATAGACATAAAAATTTATCAAAAAGTGGGGGAAATGCACAAAATGAGGATGATTCACATGTGTGTACTTGCAGTCATTGCCTACTATTGAGATTTCCTTGAAATTTTTAATTTCTTAAAAAAATTTACCTAAACACCCTAAATGGTGACAAATAAAAAGTTTGATCCCAAAGACTACGAAGCGGCCTTTCTTTTTAATCACTTCCTAAACTCCTGCCATAGACAACAAAGATTTGAGATGGTGGAGGACTATTACAATGCCGAGCCATTCGACTATGAAATGTACTGTGAGGATAATAGGGAAAAGTATAATAGAAAAGCAGTGGTGAGCAGATTTAAAAATGAAGATTCGTCTAATTTTTTGGCAAGTCACTACCGCACAGACAAAAAGACAAAAAATCTGCCGAAGACAAGCCAAGCATTGAAAATTTTTACTGATTCCAGGTCTCATTCAGCGCCAGAGGGACGCTTGAGCTTTAAAAATGGTGCTCATCAGACACTTTCAATACTCAAGCATAGGCCTTTTTTCATAGTTCAGGGTGAAAATTCATGCGCTAAAAAACAAAAAAGAACTTTAAAAGAGAATGATGCACAGTCTTACATAAAGTCACAAAATGTGTTTGATAGTTCAAAGATTATCTATTACAACGACATTGTTGATGTTATAAACCATAATTTTACAAATTGCTTTGTAAAAAGAGAAATAGCCAGTCCAAAACGAGAAGAGAGCGAGACAGAAACTGATTGCAGCTCAGACTTAGCTTTACATGACAATAGGGAATATAGTTTAGAAGACAGCAACTGTTCTTCTGGCAATGAGCATGAAAATGCGCTATCTTCTGAGATGGCTGAGTCTAAGTCAAAGTGCCCAGAAGATGGTACTGATAATTACAGATTTGATGTTCAGGGCATCACAGATACAAATATACTGCAAAAGACGGATGAAGCTTTCAAAAAAGTGCTATTTGGGACATTCAAACATTTATATAAAAAAATTTGTAAATCCCAGTATGGACAATCAACGAAATGACAACAACGATGATTTTGAAATTGAAGGTTTTAAGGACAAAACAAAGCAGAAAATTCTAGATTTATACAAGCCTGGTGAAGATGACGACCTTCCACCGCTTCTGCCGGGCGAGACCCCAGGGTTTATATGTGCTTTTTGCCACAGAAGGTATATTAAAAGACTTGAATTAGTCAAGCATCTTCATGATGTACACGCAGAAATGGATGGATGAATAAATTTATTGAGTAAAGCAAAATGTTTTTGTTTATGGACTTTCAAGATGCATTCATACTATCGGGCTTCTTGTTTAATCTACTCCCAGAAACACTCGAGCCCACCACTTCATCAGTCTTTCAGTATAACTAACTATCAACACCGAAGGCATCCCATCCAACAACGCATAGGTACTATTCAAAGCACTATTGAAGATTGCTTAAAATGTACATTCGAAATACCCCAAAAAAGAATACAAAAAGACATGCTGTACAAGGAAGCGGCAAAAAAGAAAGGCTTTATTAACAAACTCGACTAACTCATAAGAATATCAAAAACTTAGCAAAATTTTCACTGGACAATTTCAATTTTAAGGAACCTGTTCAAGCAGTAATCTGGAAAGTTCCTATTGACACGGACCTTAAGACTATCAAACAGCTTGTACTGGGTGGATTGACGAACAAAGCCCTCAATCCCATACATAGGAATGAATAGAGTCACACCGTTACTCCTAATACTAACCACATGGGCCATAAGATCTCTATCGTCAAGTACATGCATAATGAAGAGCTCTTCAGCCATTCTCGATGCGTTTTGAGCATTTCGGTGTCTAAAATTCATTAATGAACATGCCTTGGTGTTCACGAAGTCTTTCAGATGGTCAATCATTATTTCGTTATTATCCAGAATATACGAAAGAGTTCTATGAACAATAATATCAGGATATCGTCTAATAGGTGAAGTAAAATGGGTGTAAATGTCAGTAGCCAGGCCGTAATGATGGAAATCAGAAGATTCACCACTACAAAAATACAGGGCCTGTTGCATAGATCTTGTGATAATACGTTTCACAATCATGGACTGTTCCTGATCGAGTTTTTTCAAAGAGTCATTCAAGCTCTTGGATGATGTAGCATCAACAATGTCCAACTCTATTGCAGATGGAAGTGGGTGCTTTCTAAGCAGAGAATACTCTGGATTAAACTTATGAATAAACGAGGCAACCGTTATGTTGGCCAATAACATAAATTCTTCAACAAGATAGTGTGTTGGTATAGACTCTTTTATCTCAATTTCACCATCAGGATTGATACGGATCTCCTGTCCACTCAATTCCAGTGCGCCATTCTCAAATCTTTGAGTTCGAAGTCTTGTTGCAATCTCTAAAAGAAGTTTTAGTGCTGGTCTCAATGCATTTCTTGTAGATGATACAGCCGATCCATGCTTTATAATATCGTTAGCTTCTTCATATGTAAGTGCAGCTTTGGATCTGATCAACGATCTAAATATATCCGCATTGATGATATTAAAACCTTTATCAAGTTTCCAAATACAAGAGAATGCAGCTCTATCATTTCCTTCAAGGAGAGAACAAAGATTTGAAGAGAGAAATGGTGGAAGCATATCAATCCTTCTATCTGGAAAATACACGGTAGTTGATCTATGCCTTGCTTCAATATCTAAAACTGAATCAGGTAGAACATAGGATGAGACATCGGCAATATGAACACCAACTTCGATGTGGTCATCGTAGACCCGACAATGAAGGGCATCATCAATATCTGTGCATCCTTTAGGATCGATTGAGCAGATATCAAGGTCTCTCAGATCCTTTCTTTTACCATCTAAGACTTCTTTCATAACTCTTTCAATAGAGAAATGAAAGCTGTCGAATCCCAAGCCCCCAGGCGTATTGTCATCGGAACACTGCAGGATTCTTTCACCAATCTCTTCTCTTCGACGGTTGCACACATCAATCCAATTGTTGTTGAAGTACTCGATTTGAAAATGCTCGAATATGGCATTCACCTCATCTTCAAACACACCATTTTTACCCAAGAATTTAAATATTACGCCACGGGGATTTTCATTTGAACATTCCCAGTCAAGAACATGAACGACAACCTTTTTGAACAGATCGGAAGCATTTAAGTGAGTTAGTACAAAAATATCAGGCAATCGCCTGTCTATTGGTCGGACATATCCGATTCGTGCACTATCATTGAAATTTTCCAGTTTAAACACTGTGCCTGCGACAATCCTTGTTTTCCTTTTGAAAATTCCGACAACTTTGTCATTTTCAAGAAATACCTCATCTCCATGCATTGCCCTGTTGATGTTTCTATCATAGATTTTTGTTCTCTTTTCTTTTTCTACAACTTCACCCTCAAGATTATTGAGTGGGTTGATCATCAACGTTCCCTTTGTAACTTTTCCTGATCTGTGTAGAAAGTCTAGGTTTTCCAGATAAGGCTCAAAGACACGGGTGTTGGATTGATAGAAACTCATTTGATTAAACACAACATCAAAAACAGGTAAATGATTTACGTATTGTTTGAGGTTACTTTGTGTCAGAATGTCAAAGGTTCCTTGTGGATGGCTGATTCTTAAATAGTTCAAAACGGCTTCAAGCCTTGAACCATGGTTGTGATTCTGATTGATATGACCATTAAATTCATCAATTTCAGCAATAAACTCGTCTTTGAATAGAACAATGTCTTCGTTTAATTTCTTAAGCTGCTTTTCATCATCTCCACTCAAGAGACAACTGCAAATTACGAAATAAAAATCCTTAACTAAAAGAACTGAGTTAAAAGCAGTTTGTATTTCCCTTGAAAGTATCAAAACTGGTTTGGAAAACTTAAAATGGAGCGGAAAGAAGCTCAAATTTCGGTGCTTGTAAATTTCTCTGACATGTTTGGCAAGCTTGAATCTCTTTGTAATCTGTCTTGTGTACGCACTTGACTGCATCGAAGGGTTGTTGAAAATGCTCAAAAGAGTGCAAATAATGCAAGCACATGAAAAAAATTCAAAAGGCAATAGCGATACAAAATCTATTGCACTTTACATGGCATATTCAGATATATTTTGACATTATGATATGTTTAATTATATAACAATAAATCATTAAGCCTTTTACTGGTAAAAATGTCATTCAATATCTGAAGCCTAACGTATGCTTATATTTCCTCTATTTCAAATTTTAAGTTATTTGACACGTACCCATGCTCTATCACACCTGAAAACCTTTTACAGTCTTGGATAAAATCATAATCAAAATTCACATCAACAATGTAGTTACCGTTATCTGTCAAAAAAGGGACTGAGATTATCCACGAGTCGTAATTTACCTGAACGCTGTGGTCTTTGAGGACTCTTAGAAAATAACCGTAGCTTTCCTTGAGAATCTCAACAGGAATGGCTAGCTCCTCAAAACTATTTACGTATTTATTATTTTGAACCACAATAACCGACTTTTTCGACATGTTTATCATTAGTTTCTCAACCGTTAATGCTCCGCCACCACCTTTGATTAGATTTCCAAAACAGTCATAATAATCAGCACCATCAAAATAAAGATCCATTGTAGATGCATTTTGAAGTGATGATACTGTTTTGTTCTTCAAAAACATTAGCGTTTGGTTGGATGCTGGAAAATATAAATACTTGGAGGGCAAAATTTCAGAAAATTTTAACATGGTACTTCCCATTCCAATTCCAATAGACTTTACATTGGCAGTTGCATATTTGTTAAATATTTTAAGCAGCTTGTCCTTCTCGTTCGGCATTCCTTTGCGTTAGAAAATAATGGTTTAATACTTGAAACATTTGTTATACATACTGTAACAAATGATAGGAAACCCACTGTAATTATGTGATCTATGTTTAAGCATAATTAAAGATCACAAATTCTCTCAAACTGTCATATTTTACAATCAAGGCCATATATTTATATAAGCCCTTTCATACCTTTGAAAACCTCTCTACCTTTAATGATTGCTGAAGTTTGTTCAATACACATGAAACAAGTTAATATAGAAAATGCCCATTGATAGTTAGTTTTGGGCAGCACTAGTTTTTCCAGTTTGCAAAGTGTCTGCTGTTTTATGCACAGATCAACAACACGCGTAGTGCTAAAGTTGTTGAGGCCATAGCTGTGGGACATTCTTCTGGCAAGCCAGCCGTTTTAATATGCTGTATTGAGTCTTTTCGGACACAGCTGTGGAATTAAGCAAACAAACCTTGATAAACGCCAATGCTGTTTATCATTTGGGAATTGTCAAATTAACAGGGTGAGTTGCTTGCATTTCGTTTTCAGAGTGCTCATTAAAATTTTGAAAGAAAAATTAAAAATACAAAAAACCAAATGAAGTGAATTTAAACAAAAAGTCAGCCAAACATGGGCGTTTTTAATCAAGCTACGTTTATTCCACACTTCTGATGTTGTGGAGCCTCCTCAGATGGGAAATTAAGCTTCTTCTATAGACATATTCGCATCCGCAGTAGATGCATTTGTATTTATCCTCCGTATTGCACAGAGAGTTGGTTATGGCATTGTTTAATGCCTTCGAACCTATTCTATCTGGCTTTTCTCTAACATTTCGTATAAAATACACAAACAATTTTGCATCTTCATAGTCCTTAACGTTCACCATGGGCTGAATAAAACTAATATTTATGTAACATCATATTTGTTTTACAATAAATCATAAGCTTAAAATTTTTAATAATTGTTACATCTGTCAAATTCTGTTTGATATCATTTTTATCAATATTTAGCATTACAACTGCAATGCTGTCAAGTTTTTTGAAATGTTTGTTTGTTTATTTTTGAATTAAGAAATTAAAACTGTCAAAAAAATTAAAAATTTGACCAATTGATAATTACAAATAAAACCAAGAGACAGACCAACCATGTGCAAACAATGTGTATGAAAGTGCAGGAACACCCCTCTTTTTGTGCTAGCTCTTTTCCTGTCATTTTTTAAAACTTACATAGTGACAAACGTGCAAAAAGAAAACATGCAGAAATGCTAGAATGAAAAATTTGGACACAAAACACAAACATTTAAGTGCATTTCATCACGCCTTTCAATTCAAAACAGTTTGGGCATTTGGTATTTCTATTTGAAGGAAATGTGTGATAGATCAGAAATTGAAGGCAGATTTAAGTGAAGTTTAAAGACGCGGCTCAACTACAATCAATAAGAATGAAATCAAATCAATTGTGCGGCTTAAACTCTTACCATTCAGTTTTTATGAAAAATTAAAAGAGATAGCCAGTAAAATAATCATGCAAAGAATTTAACCTCAAAGGCAACTGGCAGGGAATTAAATGAGCACACAGTCCACCACCGAACTGCCTGTTTCAAATTCAATTGCTAATATTTTGATCACCCAACAATTGAATAAGAAGAAGCTTAAAATTCGGTTATTACACGTGGTTTCATGGCTATTTAAAAACCACCAGCATTACCATGCAAACCTAACCAACTGTTGAAAGCAGAGTATTTTTGGATTTTCAATGGCGTGCACAAACATGCAAAATTGATTTCCAACAAGCTCGCTGCTTCAAGTTTGCCAGGTGTAGCATCAGAAAAGACGCACATGATATTTAACAGCAGTGAAAGAGAAAAGACCTAATCGAGTTTGACAACTAAGGCTTTGATTTGTTTTCTTTGTTAAAAATTTTAGCTTTCAAATCTTGATTTAATCACTGATTTCAAGATTTCCTTAAACAACCTGGAACGGGCAAGTCCACTCAACTGTACCTCCTTCTTTTGTTATCGCTTCTCACTGTCCCGCCAAATACTCCTCTTCCGTACTGTCTATTTTCAGCAAATCCCATGTCCTTGTCGACCTTTAGAAATTTACCATCAAGGCAAAAATCTTTGAAGAAAATAATTGCATTGTCAGCATCTTCTTTTCTTTCAAACTCAACAAAGCAAAACCCACAAAACGTCAAAAGACCTCGATTAATGCCCATTATGACCCGTTTAACTTCTCCAACCATTGAAAAAAGCATCCAAAGTCTCTCTTCTTTGATATTCTCATCAATATTGCTTACATATATTGTTTTAGAATCTTCAAGGGCTTTAAGATACTCTTCCTGTGTTCCCTTAAACGACTTTTCGATGTATATTCTGTTGTCGTCTTCCATTGCAAAGTACTTTGCAAGCTCCATATCTTGGGCTATTGTTCAAACAGAATTTAAAAGTAAAAAGAACACTGTAAAATTCCACGGCTGGAAAGCACTTGTGCATAACCAACTGGCTGTTAGAGCCTTTGCATTTTCATATCCATCACCACACATAATAATAGATCTACAATAGAGCTTTGCCTGTCATACCCATGCATATAATATCTACTTAAACGCCAATAAGAAACAAATTAATATTGTTAAATTTTAATTCTTTTTACTCAGAAGCTTCTGTTCATCATTCAAAAATGAAGAAATGATTTTCTTTTTAACACAATTAGAGCAGTGTGTAGCACCATACGGTCTAGAAACTCTTCTTTGTGAAACGGGCAGCCTGGAAAAAGCTGCCGGCCTCAACGCAGCGATACCGATAAGAAGTTGTTCACAGCCGTGGCAGCGATGCATCTTGGCCTTCTTACCTTCCTTAATAAAGCTAATCTTCTTGGAGGGCGTAATGACTTTAACTCTTTTGTTCGATGCAGTCTTGTACGTGTTCCCAATGAACTTTATTGGAACTACCATTTGTTCTGGGTGAAAATTTTTCACAAAAATTTTACTAACAAACAAGAAAAGTGCAAATACAAAAGACGATTCATAAAGCGTGACAAAGCAATATTCAACCATGCCTTGAACTTCGATTCATATTGCATTAAATATAAATCAAGCAAAATATAACCGATAAAAACGGTTTTATTACTTATCTTTAAACTCTTCAATGACAAACAAACATGCTGCAAAGCCAAGGCAGTGCTATCCACCTTACTTCTATATTCTAATCTTACAAATACCCTCGGCTATCTTCGTGCTTTTCAAGCTTCCAAGTATAGTTTTTAGCTTTTCAGTTCCAGGAAAACCAGCCGGAATACAAACAATCTGTGAGTGTTTGATTTTACTCTTCATTTCTCTGATGTCGTCTGGGCACAATTTGTACAGTTCTATCTTGAAATACCGACAAAATGCAATAAGGCTTGGCACTTCAATTGATTTTTCATCAAATACAAAAATATGAGTAAAAGCATCTTCACTTTTCATCAGCTGATTGAACGTAACAGGAACTTTTGTATTTTCTATTAGCTGAACCATACCCACCTTTTCTTTTAGCTCCGTAATCTTGAAGAACTGTGGCTCAAAAACAGTATGTCCCATAGGGATTAGCAGAACAACAGTTTTTAGGGTTGGAGCCTATCGTTTATCTGAGACTATTTATACAATAGTGTGCAGTATGAAAATGCATCAGACATACTGAGAGATTGGTTAAGATCTAAATAAAGTTTCTTTTTCTTATTTTTTATGATTTTTTTGCCCAGCCGAAAATGAAGAAAAGTAGTTCGTTGAACAAGAAACCAGTCTGGAATGACGAGTCTGAAGAGACATCCTTCTCTGACGAAGAGTGTTCTGGGTCTGAACTGGAGTACTCCGACAACCAGATTGAACAGGCTGAAGAGATGCTAGAAGATGTTGAAGTATCTGGAGAAGAAACCGTGTCCGAAAGTAATGTCAGTAGTGAAGAGGAGCTTTCGGATGCAGTGGAAACAACAAACGAGGATGAGACTCAAAGTGGAAGCGAGGAAGAGTGCGACGAAGAAACACAAAGAACGGTGTTCATCAAGGACATTGGCTATGATCTGAGAGAGGATGACCTAAGACAGCAAATGCAGCGACTTGGGGAAGTCATAAGGGTTACAATTCCCATGACACATGATCTACGAAGAAACAAGGGCTTTGCCTATGTTGAGTTTAAACGATTGGCCGATGCCCAAAAGGCTCTAAAACTAGATGGGACAGAGCTCTTAGGAAGAAAAGTAGCGGTGTTCCAAGCTAAGCCGAGAGAAAACAGAAAGATCTATACTCTTTTTGTAAAGAATTTGAGTTATACCACGACCAAATCTGAGCTGAAGGAGTATTTTGAGAGATTTGGAAAAATCTATAACATTAGCCTACCTGTTGATAATGAGAATACAGAAAGGAACAAAGGATTCTGCTTTATTGAGTATACTGAACCTGATCCAATCACAAGGGCACTGAAAGGCAAGCACACTTTGAATGAGCGGACGTTATATGTCATTGAAGGCAACAAAAACGAGGATAGGAATAAGAAAAGAAGCACAGACCGACTTTATGGCCGAAGCAAGAATACCAACAGTGATGAGAGCAGCGACATCAGCCAGAGTTCTCACAAGAGCAGATTCCAAAAGGAAAACAAGTTCAATTCAAAGGGAGATAAAAACAAGAAGTTTGACGATTCTAAGAAGTCCTCGGGAAAGGGCAAGTTTGAGAAGCGTCCCCAAAGCAAGTCATTTAGCAGCCAAAAGAATCCAAACAAGATAGTTTTTGATGATTCAGAATAAAGCTTAATTACCACCCAAAAGTCTTTTCTAAATGCTAGTTTAATGCAAAACTGATATTACTCAAAGGATTGTTTTGGCTTTGATGCATATTGATATTTAAGGATATTTTATTGGCAGTAGATGAGCATTCTTCGGGTATCATAGATAACGCCTAGCAATCAAAGAATCCACTTTTCGATATTCACGGCTGTGAGCCCTTAAAAACGTGGCTAAATGTGCTGTATTTTATTGATTTCTATTTACGACATGTCTTCTATTAAGCACGCTTGTGTGTAAAATTTTGTCTTTGGGCTTTGCCCAGAAAAGTCTTATGGAGAGTGAAAAAAAGGAAATTATTAACAAGTACAAGCAAAACATCAACAAAATCATCAGGAAATACGAGAAGTACGAAGACGATGATCTTGAAGTCATCGACATCTTTACTTATGAAGATCAGCCCACGTTTTGCATCGATTCGATAAGTTTTATAAAGAATAATATACAGAAGATGATGGTGGAGAACTCGCCTTTAATACTCTTTCAAGATATTTACAAAATGCTGTGCACAGAGTGTGATTTTGAGGATATTTATCGAATTTTAAGGTAAAAGGCCGACAACCTGCATTGTAATCAAAACATGGACATTTCTGCGCCAAAAGTACAACATTTTGGCCATTCTGACCATACTCCGCATTAATATTAAACCGTTTCCTATGAAATAATGTCTATGTATTGGTCATCAAATAATATTTCAAGGAATGGCTTGGGTACTAAGTGCAGATTGGTTTCATCAACAAGACCACTGATTTTCTGGGTTGCTATGCTGCTTATAATCTTGTATCCAATGGGTGATTCATGGAGCAGCACATCGTTAAAGTCCTGCTTTGAGAATACTTTGATGAGGTATGACGGGCATTTTTCAGCGATATTCCTGATAAAGTGCAAAAGCCTTTTCTTATTCAGCACCAAAAATCTTTTCAGACTTGTTTCTAGCAGATCCAAGGTCCATTCTGGAGGCACACACTCCAGAATTTCAACTTTTTGCTGCACAAACGAATTGTTTTCGAAGATGTATTGGGAAAACTGCTGGAACACGGATTTCTTGCAGCTAAATAAGGCATATGCTTCGAAAAATAATCTCGTGTGGTGCTTGAAGTAGTGTTCAACTACCTTAAGTGCATTGTCATCAGGTATTGAAAAGAAGTCATCAAAAAAATAGTCTCTGAAGAATTTAAACTTTTGGAGACTATCATCCGAATTAAAGTCAGAACAGTTAATAGCCTGCCATAAAATAAATCTTGAGGATATTTCATCGCTGTCCTTGGTGCATATCGTGTTTGCTTTTAGCATCTTTTTTTGATTTTCTGCTATTTTGTCCTCTTTTAGCTGTAGGGTGATCTTTTTCTTTAGCTCCTGCTCTAGTTCAAACTTATCCAACACGAATCTTCTCTTTTCATCGCGTAATATATCATTTTCCTTCTCCATCTTCTTCATGTTTGCTCTAAGAAGCGTCAGTTCAGCCTTGAGCAGACTTATTTCTCTGCTTGTATCGCCATCTGGTTCTTGTTCTGGCATAGGGCATGTAGCAAACTTGAAGCTAATTTAAAGTGAACTACTGCACCATATTAAACAACAAACAGCCATGATGTTTGAACAGTGCAGAGCCCGCTTAATTTTATTACAATACTTAAGCCCATAAAAGCTCACCTCCAGCCGCTAGGCGAAGTTATTGGAAGTGAGACGTAGGAACTATTTGGAGATATTTATTTGAAGAACACAGCACATTTTACTCTAGATTTTGAGCTATTAACACTTACAATTGGCACTGCCATGCTTCATTGCAGACATTCTTGTAAATTAAAAAGATATGTACCCACAAGTTCTCCCTTTGAATACTCACAGAAGTCGTTCAAAGCCCGAACCACTTCATCCTCATTCACGTTTCTGTTGCTAGTACCCTTGTCCACAAGATATCTTTCAAGACTGAAGAGCATCATCTCCGTCTTCTTAGCTCTTGTGTTAATGAATAGCCCTTTCATAATACTGTCCAGTCTTTTGTTGATGTTTTTCTTGAAAACATCAAAACAGAAGCTCTCAAAATCTGGAAATTCAATGGAAAAATTGCCAATAACCTCGTTAAACACGTAGAACTGCAATTTCTGAATAAAATTAAAGTATTTTAGTTCTCTCAGTCTTCCAGCCAAATGCTCAATCTTTTTTAGTTTCCACAAGAACTTGAAAATATAAACCAGCTTGATAACGAATTCCTCTTCAATTAGGAGCGAAACTGGATAGTCCAGCTTTATGTACAGAGAAAAGCTCTCGGAACCCTGGTCAGGCCCCAGCCCCACTCCTCGCGTCATCACTTTTAATAAATTCTTCTTGGGTAATATAAATATCAACTAGGGAGTTAAACGGAGACTTTGGAAAGATAGAATTCAATGCGTTTTCCAATAAATTGCAGATGTTTTTTCTTCCAGTTTTCCTGGACTCTTTCAGAGATGTGAACAGCTTTTCAATGAAGTCAATTCTACCAAAAAGAAAGGTAGAGTGAATAAATTCAAGAAGATCCAATATCTTAAAGTTCTCAAAGAATCCTTTGTATAACAGTGTATTAATGCATACCAATGCATCCTTAAGATAGTTTACTGCACTATTTTTGGATAAATCAATCTTTCCTATCGTACTTTGAACTTCACGAGGTATATTTAGAAGATGAACACTCTTCAAAAAGGCAGTGTACTTTCCGATATAAGCAATAGTTTCGGCGGTATGCCTTGAAATGAATGGAGGAATCAATCCGTAATCCAGGACATGATTTCTAATAAAGTACTCAGAAAATGGGTCTTCAAAGCTGCCATTTAGCAGATACGAAATAGTGCATTCATTGAACACCTGGTAAAGAACATCTTCGAAACCCTCAAAGAGAGGATTGATGGACGCCAGAGCGACATTGTCAAAGTTCAGGTCAAGTGCAGTAAAAGCCTTTAAGTGCATTTTGTTCCTGAAACTATCGTTTAAAATTCCCAACTTCCTAATGTTTTTGAAAGGAATATACATATTACTGTAGAAATCTAGAAAGTCACAGAATGATTCCAGGACTGATTTTTCATAGTCTCTCAAAGAAGGCTGTATCTTTCCAAGAAAGTATCTGTGAGAAAGAGAATGTGGCTGTTCCTGCTCAATCTTTAACTGTCGGTATATCAGTCCATGGGAATATACTGCATGAACAATGCTAAACACTGCATTGTTAACCTTTGATCTGATTGAAGGCAGTGAGACAGGATTGAAGTATGAAGTTTCAAATCCCAGGGCACCTTGTCTGAGATGAACTCTCAAATCTTCGTACACACTCGGCTTTTTGTTGCTTAGACAGAGGAACACATAGACCAGCTTTGTTATGCCTTCGTTGTTCGGCAGTTTTTTGTACAGAAGAAAAGCCTTTTCGGATTTTTCATTTAGGAATGAATCGATTTGAGGAGCATGAGTAGGCTGTGGAGTTAGATACTTTGTTAGGGATTCGATGAAGAGATTTGAGGGTTCCAAGGGAGAGTAAAGGTTTCTGACGAGCCTATCCAATACTTTAGCAGTGCTAGACATGGGTACGGAAAGCCGCGGCGTATGAAGAAAATAGGTCGAGAGACTAAGGACTAACCCAAAATGTAAAGAGGCGATACAGGCGGTAGTACTTTGCAGAGGGTTTTCAAAAGAAAGACGAGAATAATGACAATGAAGAAGACAGCCAGCCCACATTTGGACTCGTGAAAAATCCAATTGCACCAAGCACATAAACAAAAATGCCCTGAAGCTCTTTTTTATTTAATTTGACACACTTTAGACCTGTGATCCTGAATAAATACCTTAAATATTCTATTGGCATTATCAAACATGTTGTTCTTTAAACTAACTACAATAAACTGTGCCCCATGAAACTCCTTCTGAATTATCTCTCCAATGGACTGTGTATAATTCAAATCGAGAGCTGCGTCAATCTCATCAAAAATATAAAAAGGCGCTGGCTTGAATGTAAGCATGCTAAATATCAGACACAGAGCTATCAAGGACTTCTGCCCACCGCTTAGCTCGCTGAGAGAGTTCTTCCAGTTTCCAACTTTAACCTTAATTTCAAATTCGGGTGAAATAAAAACATCTGAATTCTTTAAAAAATATCCTAGGAAGGTCCTGAGTGTCTTGTTGATGTGCTCAAAAGCCCTTTGATTCTCTTTCACACCCATCTCATTCAGCCTTTCAATGCTTTTTAGAATTTCTATCTTATCGCTTTCTAGCTTTCTTATTTTCTCTTCCAGGTCCTGAACAGCTGCTGCATTCTTCTCCAACAGCTCAAAGTTGGATGGATCCATGCTTACAACCACTCTTTTCTGATGGATCTTCTCTTTTAGAAACCCCATCCTCTCTTCAATATACTTGGTATTTACATTGTCATTGTTGAACTTGAACAGTATAATTCTCTTTTCAACTCCAAAGCTTGCCTCCATAAATTCAATATAGTTATCAGTAAAATTAGCTGGGACGATGCTGGCCAATCCCGATCCATTATGCTGTATCTGAGTGGATATATTCGTAAGATTTTCATTCATTTGATTTTGAAACACCTGGTTTGCCAATAATTTAATTTCGTCGTAGAGACGAGCAATTCTTGATGCAAGCTTGACAGTAGATTTGATCAAAACCTTTAGTTTTTCATCAAGGCTCTCCATCATTCTAATGGATGCTCTTCTTGAATTCTCTTCCAACTCAAAAGCTCTTTGTCGTGACTGAAGTTGTGCAATTCTTTCCATCGACAAGGCAATTTGTTTTTCCAGATCATTTTTGATAACGGTAAGACCATCAATTTCATTCTTCAGCATTTCGCATTTGGCTTGTGCTGTACTCCTAATATTATTTTCCTTAGTAGCCTCCACTATCATATTTCTGACATTCTGTAACTCAGTCTTCACATCTATTTTTGACGTGGCCAGACCCTGTAGTATTTCAGCTTTGCTTCTCAAACTTGAAATATCTTTTGAAAGGCAAATGACATTTGAAAGCGAGTTGTAGATGCCCCTAAGCTCACATGCAATATTAAATTGGGGCATGTTCATTCTTAAGCATTCAACATCCCTTTCTAGTTTTTTAATATCCGACATTCTTGTTACATCATATTTGAAATATGACTTGCCACCTGTCAATGTACCTTTAGGATCATACACTGTCCCGTCCAGAGTGACACATCCCACTTTGCATTCAAAACAACAAGTAGCCGCCTTTGCTTTATCTTCAAAGATATAAAATCCACTGAAAATGTGCTTGAAAGCCTTGTCATACTTCGTATTGAAACTTATTGCATCCAATGCATTTATACAAGAGTAGGGTACTCTATTTGGCTCCAAATAGGTTATTTTATCCAACGGAATACAGGAAATTTTCCTATCACTCGTCTGGATTACCTTTGATGCGACCTCCTCATCTCTACAAATAACAAACTTGGATCTTCCACCTAGGATAGTTAAAATAGCCTCTTTGTATTTCTGATCAACAAAATCAAAATTTTCATCAACTGTTCCATAGACACCCTCGATGATTGGATAAAATATCTTACTTTTTAAGGAGGAAATCTTCTCTTCAAAACTCCTGATCGTTGCATCCTTCAATTCGTATTCTTCAAGTAAATTTTTAACTATTCTCAACATTTCTTCAGAGATATCTTCGCAGCATCCGTCCCTTGGCTTGATGTACTTTTTGATAGTTGAGCTTTTTATTTTGCTTTTCTACTTCAGAGCGTGCCATTTCTAGTTCTACTGTTTTCCTATTTAAAAACTCCTTCAATCTCTCAAGTTCCGCTATTTTATCAATGTCAGCTCCACCTAATATTTCCTTTGATAGGATATTTTCCCTCGCGCTTAGCTCGTTTAAATCAAACACAGGTGGTCTTTCCAAAATCCTTACGCCTTTTTCATATTCCTCCACTTTAGAATCAATTTGCTCTGATGGGTCCTGCCCCCTCAGCTCCTCCAGTCTATCCTTTTCAATATTTATTTTACCATTCAGGTCACTGGCATTGATGGCTTGCATTGTGCTGATTTCTTTTATTTTCATTTCCATACTTTCCAGCTCCGCTTTTTCCTGAAAATACTGGACACCCATTCTATTCAGCTCTTCGACCTTTGAGGCTAGTTCAATGCCAGCCATTTGGTTTTCGAGAATTTCCAGCTCCTGGATATATGCTTTTCTATTCACTTGACTGTCCCTGTTCTCTTCATATATCTTCTTTTCCTTTTTTAGCTCCTCAAAAAATGGGCTGATGGTCTTCTTAAGATGCTCTCTTGCTTCTTTTAGCTTGAATTCTTTCTTGGTTAACAGTTCTAGTGATTTTTCTCTTTCCAGGCTGTAGTTCCTAGTCCCCGCTGTTTCTTCAATCATACTTTGAAGATCCGCACTTTTCATATTTACAATCTTGGTTATGTGTCCCTGCATGACAATGAAGTCGTTTGTAATTCCAATGCTCTTGCACAGATTCTCGATAGACATCTTTGTTGAGTTATGTCCATTTAGCCTGTACTTGCTCTTACCCTCTGAATCAAGACTTCTGGTAATTTCAATGCAATCGTAGCTTTCGTACCCGATGGGACTCTTGTCTTTCTCAGCATTGTCAAAAACATACTAACAGAACATTCTTTCCTGTTTATGTTAATTAGTTCTTTTAAGTTCGAGACTCTCATGTACTTGGAAGTGCTGAGATCAAGAGCGAAAATAATGGCATCAATAATATTGCTTTTTCCAGAACCGTTCATTCCAGTGATAGCCGTAAAGAATCGGTCTAAATTCTTTACAACCGTTTTGTCAGTGTAGCACTTGAAGCCGTCCATGATGACATCCTTAATGAACATGGGATGAAAATTATAAATAAATAACAACTATACATAAAAGTGTAAAAAGCAGCACATGTGCTGGTCGATATTGCAAAATGAAGTTATCTAAGCCTGTCCACCTTCTCTCTTCGTATTAATTTATAAGTGTTTTACTCTTCAAGATTATCGATTGCAACCAAACAGCATACAATGGAAAGCTAATCTTAGTAGGCTGAAGTACATTTCCAGAAAGTACGCTTGCTTGTTGAAGTCTTATAAGTACCATTTTTAATCTAAAATACAGCCCAGCCCCAGCTTTATACTTTGCACAAACTTTGGCCATGGAAAAGTCTTCAACTGCAGAAGTAAAACAAGGAGATATTTCGAAGAGAATGCACGATGGGAATTCAGTAATTCTTGAAATTTGCAATAAGCTTAAGCTTCCCAGACCTATACGGGCCATGTCTCAAGGCATATTCCAGAAATGCATCAACTTTGATGTGAATCTAAGAAGACTCTGCCATACATGTGTTTTTCTAAGTTCAAAGATAGTAGAACACCCAATAAGCCCGAGTCTATTCAAAAGTGTTACAAAAAGTACCATTGATACTGAACTAGAGCTTAAAATAGCAGAAGAGCTACAATTCGAATTCGATATTTTAGATGTCTACGCCTTTGTGGAAAATATTGCTGCTATGCTAAAAATCGAAGGTTCACTGCCAGCGCGGATGGGTGAACTCGATAGCATCTTTTCAGATGGAAGGATCACTTATTTTTCGCCATTTGGAGGAGAGCACGAACTTTCCTATCTTGGCTTGTCTCTTTTTACAGATAAGCAGTTAAAAATCTTTGAAACATTGAACTGTATTGTAATTGACAAGCAAAAGATTAAAGATATAAGGCAGGCAGCTATGAGCGTCCAATGAGACATATTAAAGCTCGAACATGCAGAGATGATGTTGTGCATTTATCTGGAAGAAACCTAAGTATATTTCAGACATTACTGAGTAGGGCAGCTGCCAAGACTGTGTTAATAGACATGGGGATTTAGTTAAATAAAATTTCTTAAGACGTCCTTAACAGCTAAATTGCGTGTTTCCTTTAATGTTATTCGTCGGAAGTAAAACCAAGCACAGAAGTGTCGAGCAAATTGCAGTTTATGGAGTGTCTGGTCAAAAGAAGAGTGAGGTCATAGCACACCGATTATATGCAGCCTAGTATAAAAGAGAATATTTAAAGTATGGCAACACAACACACATAAAATATTCAGAATTAAATTGCCATTAGAAACAATATGAAAAGCCAAAAGCCCAAGTTTATGGAAACAATGAAATTTACTGTTGGAGTTTTACTGTCTTTCTAATGAATTTTTCATGATCAATAGCCAGCAGAGAGGCAAAAAACATAAAAGCAGAGTATGAAAGATGTCCTTTGTATTCATTCCAGGCCTTGCTTTTCAAAAGTGCAAAGGAGAATACTCTAAGTAGATTAATAGTGAGAATGATGGCAAGGAGTGGGTAATTCTTACTAAATACTACAAACATAATAAACAGAAGCTGCACAATCTGTGCCTTGGTCAGATTCTTCTTGAGAAAATCAACAACATCTTTAAGCTTCAGCTTTTTTGTCTTCTTCGTTATGAAAAAGGGCTTTCCTTCCTTGAAAAATATCTCGTCTTCCTTGAGAAACACTATTTGATCATTTACTACTGATTTGTAAAGCTTCTTTTCGCCAAGCTTTCTATCATATAAGCTCTTTTCATTAGTCTTTGATTCTATTTGTGCAAACTCTATGTCTTTCTCCATTGTAAATACAATGTTCCTTCCTAGTGCACTCAAAGGAGTTGAATCGGTCAGTATTTTTCCTTTGAATGTCAGAAGAACTGATGATGGGTCGTGTTCGTTAAGCTTGCGCTTTAAATCCATGATTGTAAGAATTTTCTCATCGTCTATCAGCTGAATTTCGGAATTTCCTCTGGTTTGTACTTGGATCTGAGTCATAATGGGCTAGTCAAAAAACAATTTATAAAAAAGGGGAAATTAGACAAATGAAAAATAACAATAAAAAGGGGAAAGCTGGACAAATAAAAACAAAGTTTACATTAGAACGGCAAATGAACAAGAAGCAATTTGTAGCGGTTGTTTTTATGAAAGCACTTGAGTGCTCATGAACAAGTAGACCAATCAAACAGGCCAAGCATATCCCATCTTAGCATTAGAAAATAATGTCCATTTGCTAGGCAAGAGTAATTTGAGCCGAAATCAATCACACTTACAAATAGCACAAAACTACAGTCTAATACAACCTGATTTATGTTCTACACTTAACTGCTAGCATTAGGATTGGCCACTATGCGCTTTAGACTTCATTTGTAGCATTCTCCTTTTCTTTATCCACCTATTAATTTCTTTTCTATCAAAAATTTTCAGTCCTCCATGCGTGAGATTATCCACATTCAAACAGGTCAGTGTGGAAACCAAATTGGAACAAAGTTCTGGGAAACTATAAGCAAGGAGCACGGAATTGACCCTTCCGGAATATACACTGGAACCTCAGACATTCAGAGAGACCGAATCGAGGTATACTACAACATGTCCTCTTCAGGAAAGCATGTGCCAAGAGCTTGTCTTGTGGATCTCGAGCCAGGAACAATGGATGCTGTAAAGAGTGGAACATATGGAGACCTATTTAGACCAGACAACTTTGTTTTTGGACAGAGTGGAGCAGGTAATAATTGGGCCAAAGGACATTACACCGAGGGTGCTGAACTGGTTGACCAAGTGATGGATGTTTTAAGGAAAGAGTCAGAGAGATCCGATTCTCTTCAGGGATTCCAGTTGACACATTCACTGGGAGGAGGCACTGGCGCAGGAATGGGCACTCTTTTGGTATCGAAGATCAAAGAGGAATATCCAGACAGAATGCTTGCTACCTTCTCGGTGGTGCCTTCTCCAAAGGTGTCCGATACTGTGGTGGAGCCATATAATGCTACGCTTTCCATCCACCAATTGGTTGAGAACGCTGACCAAACATTCTGTATTGACAATGATGCGCTGTACGATATATGCCATAAAACATTGAAAATGAAGAGTCCAGGATATGATCAGCTGAACCATCTCGTTTCGCTTGTTATGAGTGGAGTGACCACTTGTCTTAGGTTTCCGGGCCAGCTCAATTCCGACCTAAGGAAGCTGGCAGTTAATATGATTCCATTTCCACGTCTTCATTTCTTCTGTGTAGGATTTGCACCTTTAATAGCCGAGGGTTCCCAAAGATTTAAGACCTACTCTGTAAATGAACTCACCGCACAGATGTTTGATTCCAGTAACATGATGACGGCCTGTGATCCAAAGCATGGCAGATATCTGACAGCTGCTGCAGTCTTCCGGGGAAAGATGTCCATGAAGGATGTGGAGGAGCAAATGTCCAATATGCAGTCTAGGAACAGTGAGTATTTTGTTGAATGGATTCCTAACAATGTTCAGACTGCTGTCTGCGATGTGCCACCCTACGGCTTTGACATGTCTGCTACGTTTATTGCCAATACCACCTCTATTCAAGAGCTCTTCAAGAGAATCAGTGAACAGTTTATGGTTATGTTCAAGAGAAAGGCGTTCTTGCACTGGTACACTGGCGAAGGCATGGATGAGCTTGAGTTTGCCGAGGCCGAGTCTAATTTGAATGATCTTCTTAGTGAATATCAACAATATCAAGAAGCTACCGTTGAGGTAGGTGAGGAATATGCTCAATAAATAGCATTTAATCAAAAGTATTACAATAATTTCTCATGTATTTATTTAAAGTATATGTGAAAGTCTGCTCAATGCTTTATGTGAGTATTGCTTTTGAAAGATGCGCGATGCTTGTAGAATAACCTCTTTAAAATATGCTTTTTAAATAAATTACTCAAGAGTCTAATCTAATAGCACTTTACAAACACTAAAACAGTGTCTTTACTGCTAAGATGCGCATTGCTAGTAAACATGATAAGCAATTAAGCTTTGGACTCAGGTGGTAGGGTGAAATATGGGATCTTTCCTCTGTGCAAATCATGAAGAATCATCTTGGAGATAAGATCAATGTTAGGCTCTCCCCCTTTAGTTACTTTCCCAAATCTACTGGCCATTTGCACAAACAGATCATCAAGACTTTCAAATGGAATCCCATAGCAATTTTCAACGGCTTCTTTTCCTGTCAGTTTAATAACATCGGGTATCAGATCTTCAGGATCCTCAACATTCTCAATGCGTATTGCACCCCTCAATACTGCCATTCTATAATCTGAAACTGGCACAACGCCAGGGCAGTCTATCAGGTAGAGATCTTTCATCAATGCGATGTACTGCCAATGTCTTGTTTCTCCTGGAACGGGGGCCGATTTGCACACAGCCTTATTTCTCAGAGTATTGATAATACTGGACTTTCCAGTATTGGGATACCCAACAAACCCAATGCTCAGAGTATCCTTCTTGTAGAGAGTCTTAAACTGTCTAAGCACATTCATTAGATTGGCCTTGCCGTAGTTGTTGTCCAATGAATTTGAGTGATAAGCCAAGCAGGGATGTTCCTTGCTCAAAGTCCTTAGCCATTGAGCTGTTACAGCCTTTGGGATTAGATCAACCTTGTTTAGGACATACATTAAGTGCTTGTGCCGTGCCTTAGTTTTAAGGAACTCTTCAATCTGGCTGCATTTTGTTCCAAGTGGATCTCTTGCGTCTAAGACATGCACCACTACATCAGAGCTATCAATAACTTTGTACAACTCGTTCCAGATTCTGTGGCTCTGCCCTTTTACATTTTTATCATTTCTATGGATTGCTTCTTTATGCACTGGATTTTCTCTATTGACCATTTCCTCTAGACTTTTATATTGGAGCTTTGGCCTCTTTGACTGGTTTTTGCTCCCAAAACAGCTCGAAAAGTCGGCTTTTTTCTTCAATTTCACCTCATTGTTAATCAATGAGTATGGCACATTCCCCACACTTAGCAAAACATCGTATGGACTCTTTGTCTTGATTGAGTTTCTGTATTCCTCTAGCTCATTCTGTGTAACGGTCTTCGTATTTGTAAACCAAGCTCTGGCTGGCTCAACCCGGCCAGTGGATGCATCCTTAGATTGAAACGGTGCTGCCTTTATGATCTCACCTCTTGAGTTTCTTTTGGCTTTGCCAGAGCTGAGAGTGTTCAAGTACTTTAGTTTTTTTGCATTGTAGAAATTGACCTTCATCTGGGCGAAGAATTTTTCAAAAAGAAAATGTGAAATGCCGATATAGATTAAAGAGTGCTGTGAATGCTCAGGCTGGCTTGTACATGACTTGGTCCAACAGATGTGCCGAGGGCTCGTGAGCAAATTACTGCGGCATATAATATCTTTGATAGATTTTTATCAGAGTTGGTCGTCTCATGGCTTTATACTTGGGCATTTTCATGTTGTCTAAAGCTCTTTGCAAGTCTTTTTATGTGGCCTCGTTTCTGACCCTATGAATTTTATCCACTTCTACGGACACAAAAAAACGACAGAAGGCATCCTAGACAACATAAAATCAATCTCGTCCTCCCCAAAAGCTCTTTTGGAGAATCTTTACTCGCTTAACATATTCAGCTCCTGCACTCCCGTCAAAAATAAAGTGTGTCTCAGTGAATCTCCAAATTCTATAAAGATGAAGCTTTCATCAAAGAGTAGAAATAATGGAACAGCCATGTCCAAGAACATAATAGTAAATTTTCCCAACGTTTTTGGCGGCGGGGAATTCTTCAATCTGAACTTCCAAAGCTACAAGGATGCCACTGTTGAGATTGGAAAGCCGTTATTTGTAAACAACAGCATAGCACATACAACGAATCACTGCAAGTAGGAATGCACGTGAGATCAATGATAAGGAGGTAGATATTAAGAAAATAGAGTTGGGCACAAAATTTAATAGTGCATCTCACAATATTATTAGCAATCTTTGTCTTAAGCTAGGATTTGAAAAAATCCAAAAACTAGACGTGTTTTACAACCAGTCAATTTTTAAGATTTTTGGGACCAAGGTTGATGCTAAACTTGGAGTGACCAAAGCAGACAAACTCATACCGTTTTTGAAGGCTGTCGTCGGAAGAAAATTCTGCCTGAAAGGAGACCGTCTTTTCTTTGAAACGGGGTTAAAATTGGGCAAAATCTTTGGACAGACAAGCCTGGTTGAAAAGTTTTTCCTTGGAGATACACTGAGGGGATATAAAAAAGAAAGCATAGGGCCAGTGAATCAAAACAAAAAGATAGGTGGAAACAGCTTTATTGAAATACGAAACAAGATCGGATTTTACATTAACAAGTTTGAGGTATTTGCATTTAGCGACGTTGGTATTAACTCGGTGAAGGGGCTTGGGGAATGCTATAGCATTTTGATGAACTTTGGAGATAATAATTGTATTGGAAAATCCGTTGGAGTAGGAGTGTCCATGAAAACCAGGAAGGGACCATCGTTTATCTTTGCAGTACCATTGACTACTAGCCTGGACTGCGAAAAATACGTTATTGGGGTTGATTTTGAATTTTAAATAAATATTAAATAGGCTACCTGTGTACCTTTTTTAGAGAGTAGTAACTGCATATTAAAATATATTCTGCCCGCCAGCACTACTACAAAGAAGTTGAATATTTGCAGTCAACGTTTGCCACAAACGTAAATTTATTCAAAAACAGTGGGCAATATCTATTCTTGTTATTTTTTATTTGCTTCTTTCAGTCTTTTTTCTACCCTTTTCATGGTCTCTGCTGTTGTCTCGATCTCAATCTTTCTACTCTTATATGACTGTATTTTCTTATCGATCAATTTCTTTAGCTCCTTTCCATATTCCCCACTTCGGTCCTCACAGAAACAGTCAATCCTGGCTGCCACCGAACATTTAGCTGCAATGAATCTGCACATTCTTCCAATATTCCCCCCTAAACAGCCAGACCGATGTAAATAATTCAACTGGTATATTAACCCATATTTTGGGGTGTTTGTTCTCATCTTCAAGCTCCTAAAAAGAGATTTCTCAGCGCCAAGTAGCTGGAGGGTGGATGAGGGATAAAGACTCAAGTTCATCAGCCCGCCTGCCTTGTGAATCATTTTAAAACAGAGTTTGTCCCCAAGGATATGCCTGAGATTTGGAGCCAAAATTTTCATTTTTTCTGCCAAATATTCCTCAAGATTTCTTAGCAGCTTTTCTTTTTCGAAGATCATGCTCAGATAGTCTTTTAGAATACTGATGTCGAACTCTGGAATATCATTCAGCCCATCTTTAATAATACCCACACACTCACTTACATCTTTGCTGACTACAGCACCATCGACAATGTCGTCCGTGCCTGAATCTGTGTTTCTCGCATTATTAATATGGTTGAAAATCAAACTATAGAACACATCACTGTTAACAGTCACATTCAGACTTGGAAAATACCAGTTGAGCAACTTGGTAGCCTTCTCTTTTAGATTTTCAATGTCTTTCTCTACATTTTCAATTTCATATCCCACAGAAACAGCCACATTATCTTCTCGTTCAAGATTATACTGTATGTTCTCCTTAGCTAGACAAAATGCAGCACCCATTCTCAACTGCTTGTCCCCTGCCTGCCTAGTAAACTTTGATAGATTCACTTTAACTCCGCGAACAATATTTGGGCTATACTTTTGTTCAATTCCAACCGTCTTTAAAGCATTTTTCAGCGATTTGTCGCAATGCAAGACTTTCACGCTGCTCATTTCTAGAAAAATTTTCAATTTTTCCGGTATGTCGCCGCGCTCCAAAGATTTTATCGAAGACACGGCCTCGGACACATCAGTAAATGCAAGAGAAGAAATATGGTTGACAATCTGTGTTAGGGCAGCGTACTCAGTATAGAGCGGCTGTGCAAGGGTCTCAAAGCCTTTCAGCTCAAACAACTCATAGCCTGCTATGTGCTCTACCAGCAAATGCTCGACCATGGCTACTTCCTTGGGGCTGGCGAAAGAGCAATTTAAATAAAAACCAAGATCGCAATGTTGAACATGCAGAAGTATCACTTAAGCACCACATTCTACTACAAGCATTGTTTCTCGGTTTGGATGACTTGTGGCCATTTAGGTAGTTTAATATGAAAACGATAGTACTTATCAGAAAACCAAAAATCATTTTTAGCTATTTCATGCCTTATTTTTCATTTGTTGTTAAACCCCGCGGATGTTTAAAGCACAAATAAAGAGCCATGTTCTTACAATTGAGGATCAAAACAGCATACTATTTGAGCACTCTGTTTGGGACAAAGACGAATCACTTGAAATATTCGGCGTATACGGCTCTTTCACATTTAACAAGCATATATACTTGATTTTAGTGCAAAGTGCTGAAAGAGTAGGGTTGATTGGCGGGTATCCTGTGTTTGAAGTCAAGGACGTGAGAATATTTAATTTGAAGGAAAACAGAGCAAATCAAAAAGGACCAGATCGCCAAGATGCGGCGTTAAATGTAGAAGCATCAGCTACAGGAGGCATGGATAACGACATTATGGATTTGAAAGAAATTCAGTATCTAAAAAAATGTATTGCAGAGTTCTTTGAATTACCTGGAATTTATTTTAGTGAGGCTCAGCTGTATTTAAGAAAGGATTTCAATAGGATGCTTGATAAAATAGCTGAGAAGACAGATAAAAGTCCAAGCCAAAGGCTTATCTTGCAAGAAGAAAGATTGTACAAATACGAGTTCTTATTTAATAGCTTTACCATAGATCACTTTAACAAGCTATATGCCCACCAGAAAAAAGAAAGCGCATATGAACGCTTGATCTTGAAATGCATTCAAGGATATTTTGGTATGTATGAAGATTTAATATTAATATCAAGGAGATGTCCGAAACGAGCTGGGTCAAGGTACTTCTCAAGAGGCGTGGATCAAAGCGGATATCCAAGTAACTTTGTGGAAACCGAGCAGATTGTTTCAGACAAAAACTCATATCTTCATCTACGAGGCTCAATTCCGCTGGTGTGGAAGCATACTGTAGGGTTTGTGTATAAGCCTGCCATTAAAATTGATGGGAAATTGGCCGAGACATCCTCCAGGACGGCGCATGAGCTTCTTGAAAATATCTACAACAGGCCGGTAGTGTATCTTAACCTAATTCACAAGGACGGCTACGAGGAAAATCTCTATAAGAAGTTTAACCAGCATTATGGACTGACATGCAACCTCTACAACTACGATTTCAAAAAAGATTTCAGAAAGGTTGATTTTCCAATTAATTTTCTAGAGACCGGGTTCAATTCCAGTGGTAGGTCACAAAAGACAATAATCAGAACAAACTGCATCGACTGCCTTGACAGGACAAACTCAATGCAGTACTTTATAGGAAGGGACATACTGAGGCTTCAGCTTGAGGATGCCGGAGTCACTGGTAGAGAGAATATTGGTAGATATGAAGAGGCCTTTAAGACACTTTTCTACGAAAACGGAAACAACTTGAGCATTCAATATGCTGGAACAAAGGCACAGGGATCATATTTCATAACGCATGGACAGAGACATATTCTTGGGTCCCTAAGTGATTGCTATTCATCGGTTACTCGATATTTTATAAACAGATATAGACAAGGGCAGCTTCATAACGTCTATGAGGTTTTAACAGGTGTTAGAATAGATGGAAATATCCTTGGCAAGTCAAGAAGACCACAGTTAAAAATGATATTGATAGTCATGCCAGTCCTTATGTGCTTGTTCTTTGCAAGCAAGACTGGAGGCCTGGCAAGAGCTGTATTTCTGGCATTCTTTTTATGCTTTGTTGTGTTCTGCATAACTTCGATGGATTATCCTCTCTCGTACCACTGATGTTAAATTTGGACCAAAACATAAATAAATCAGGCTGTTTACTTGAAAGTGTGCTAAACTTTCTACTTTTGGTGGGTAGAAATGACTGTTGTACTTAAAACATACTAGAGTAGCTAAAGCTTAAGGTGAGTTTTTAAGTTTGTTTACGCAGCTTTTTTGTTCATAAAAATCAATCGACCCATGGACTTTCCACCAGAACAAAACAAAAGCCAAAATGTAAATGAAGAAGCAGAGATAAAGGAATGGATGGCCGAAATACTCCAGGAAAAGCTCGCAGAAGGACCTCTATCGGTAGTTCTGAGGGATGGAGTGGTTCTTTGCAATATGATCAATGCAATTCTCTCAAAAGATGCATTTGCTAAGATTAAGTGTCCAAGCAGAAGCTCTCTAAGCTTTTTCCAAATGGAAAACATAGCATATTTTATTGAAAAGGCCAGGATGCTGGGTGTTCCCGACTCCGAGAACTTCCAGACCATTGATCTTTTTGAGGATAAGAACATCAAGCAAGTTTACACCTGTATTTATTCTCTTTCCAGAAATCTCTATAAGAATGGAAGGACCGACATACGAGTCATTGGTCCAAAGCTAGTTGAGAAAGTTTCGATAACATTTACAAAGGAGCAGTTGGATGAGGCCAAGAGAACAGTAAGTCGGCAGTACGGATCGATACGGGAATAATTAAATAGTAACTTAAAAACATTTTTGTAATAGCACATTATAGTTATATTGATTTAAAGCAGGACAACACTCAGCTTAGGCATTGTTTCCAACATTAAGACTTGACAATCTGATCTATTTATTGTACTTTCTGTCTTTTTTCAATTTGTCGATGTAATTTTTAAAAATTTGAAATTCCTCTAGAAATTTGTAATTTCCTGCCCATCTCATCAGATGGAAGAACGACTTTTGGATGTCCTCTTTTTCGGCAATTCCTAAATCCTCGCAGATCATATAATAGACTCTCAGGTCGTTGAGATCGTGATTTTTCCTTTCCCGTGTGTTGAGCTCAGGAGGAACTATCATTTCATAAACAAACAGGTCAAAAATATATTGAAATGAATCTTGTTTAAAGTGTCAATAGGCAAACAAGCTATGTTGGTCTTAAAGTTAATTTGGCTTGAAAGACCATCATTTTGATTTTTTATGATTGATGCTGGCAAATACGGTCTATTTGGGCTGAAAACACCGGCAGGCTACTCATGCACCAGAACCCCAGCTGTGACAATTGAAATGAGCTTTCGATGGTATTTAAAAATTTTTACTTTCTTTGGAGTCTGTCCCTATGATTCCAATTGCACATCCAATTGCCGATGAGGGCACGGCAAATATGGTTCTTGAATGTACCAAGAAGCAACTTGAAAATGGTGGTCTCATCAGTGGAATAAAGCAGTGCCAAAAACACATCCTGAAGGGCGAGTCTTCCAAAGCACTGGTAGTATTAAGTGCATCTACATCCCCCATGGATTTAATAACCCACATTCCTATTCTTTGTGAAGAGAGGAATATTCCGTATTTGTTTGTTGAAAATACTAGCTATATGAACGGGTTTACATGCATAGTTTTGAACAATGGCAAGGAAGAATGCAGCTTGGTTTCAAAGATAATAGAATGGATAAGTAAAAGACGCAAATAAAATGCTTAGTGCACTAAAAAGAGTGTGTAAACACCGTGGGTATTCAATCAAAGAGAACATAAATACATGCCATACGAAATATTGACCTTTCAATTTCATTTTACAGACTTTATTCACCATTGTAGAAACTCGCCAGTTGCTGTGCTGTACGGAATGTCATAGTTGTCCAAATTTATAAATCCATTTTTAAAGCTGCACTTCCATTTTGTCTTGGTCTTTGTTACTTTTGTAAAGAAACATACCATGTACACCCCGATCTGCCTCTCAAGCCGATCCAGGCGATCCTCCTCAGACAAAAGATCAGAATGCGAGTCTTCAAAGGATTCGTCCCGTTCCTGGAGCTCTGCCAAATCAGCTGTGTTTACAACAGGCTCAGATTGAAGCACTTCCAAGTTCTTCAACCACTCCCTCTGAATCGAGTAGGCCATGTCTCTGTCAATACTGTGCATAGGCCCTTCTTGTTCTAGCATAGTTCCTACCTGTCAATGATTTCATAATATGTTCTTTGGGCCTGTTCATTCATTTTGGGGTTGTTTTCCGATAAATTCAGATCTGCCAGGAGGAAAAAAAGAAGAAAATATATTGTTAGCCAAAAGATGGTGTATCGAATGCTGAGCAATAGCCTACATAAATGGATAACCGCAAATTAGTGTCTCGGCATCACAGCAGTGCTATTTCATTGTTATCTGGGTGAGTTTAAAGCAGCAAGATTTATGGGATTAGATTATAGAAAGCTATGCTCTGCTCTATCAAGCCTCAGTAAATTAAGATATAATATTTGCTGATATGGACTACAAGCCTTCTTTTTTAATTAAACATCGTTCGTTTCAAATTCTGTCTTTGCAGCATCTAGTAGAATTCCCCTCGATTCCAAGACATCGTTCGTCCACACCTTCATTTCGGTGCCTTTATTTCTAGTTTGTTTTTGCCCATCTAAAAATGCTACAAGATCCCAGTGTCCAAATCTCCAAAGTCTCAAATATTAAATACCTCACACCAATAGTATTGCACGACTCAAACGATAGACACTACTATATTTCTCTTCTCTATAGAATAGCCAATCCCGGTGTTCACTACATACTGTGCCGTAAACTCAGGAGCATGAATGTAAGAGAAGAGATACCACAGCTGGTTGAAATCATGCTAAAAGGATATACCAGTTCAGCACTGTCAACCAATATCTCTTCCACATCTCCAATATCCTATCCAGTATATGATCTACTCATTTATAATGCAAGGAAAGATAGAAACTTTAGGATTGCCCTGTTCCTGAGACTAAAAAGTGTTCTGGGAACTGTAGACGAGAGTAAAGCTAGTCACTGTTATTTTCTTTGTTGTGATATACTCGATGCTGACAGTTTTGAAAGTAAAAAAAATGTTGGGATCATATACAAACGTTATAGACTGGCCAAGTCTTTGAGAAAAAAGGTTGCAAGCAATCGTATGTTATTCAGTGAAAATGGGACTTCTACGAGCAAGGACAATGGGGCTTTAATGATTGAGAACAATACTGCTGAAAACACTAGCGGTATAGTATCAACAAATAGTGGTGCTATATTATCCAAAAACAGCACTTTGCTAAGGATTAGAATAAGATACATCTTACGCAATAGAACTTTCTCAATCACAAGAAAACAAAAATCACCAACCATAAATGGGTTAATGTTGTACTTTGCCAAATCTGTACTCTCGCTATTTAATACGCAGCTGTTCAAGGAACTGGACGAATATTCTCGAATCTTCAACAGTAAAAAGAACTTTAAACACCTTCAATTTAAAAGCACATGTTCAAAGTTCAAGACCAACTGCCATTTTCTTGAAAATTTAGTTGAAATTTCAAGCATCCTTAAGAAAATACCCGTGCACCTAAGACAAAGAACCCTTAGAATATACTTGGAATTATTAAATAGAGAGATGTCCAATAATATTTTCAATCCACTTTGTAGTGCCAAAAAAATACTTGGATTCTCATTGGAACATGCAAAAGTGCTAGACTCGGCAGAAAACTGTCCTTTTATTGTGATTTGCGAGTGTGCAGATCTGGGTAGCACTGGCCATAGGCCGTATAGCACAGACTTGAAGAAAGCCAAGGGCTTAGTAAGACAGCTGGAGTTTTTGAATGATTTGGGGGAGCTGGGAGATGTTGATGGGATCAAGGAAAGTTTGGTTGTTGCCATTGAGAATGCCCTGTTTCATAACTTTATGAATGGCGATCCATTAATTGATACAGTTTCAATGATAAACCTTAATATTAATTCCGACAGTGCCATGCATACAAATGATGATATTTATAATAGTCCAACCATTTCAACTGAACCTGATGATGGAGAAGTAGACAGATCGCATTTGGACAAGCACGGCTCGTTGATCAAAGATCGAGAATTTGCGAACGGCTTGCAAATAGACATGGCAGATTCCATGGGTCGACCTAGAAGTGTCTGTGACAACAACAGCAGGATGCCCAGCAACGAGGGAGAAACCAGAAATAATATAGTAGAATTTAATAGTGGCACCATAGAGCTTAGTAGCGATGCTTCCAATAAGTCAAAGCAAGACTCTATTGATGGTGGAGACATTAGTCAAATCCATAACATTGAAGACAGCAAAATCTCCAACGAATCAGATGCCCCGACAGCCAGTGTTAATTTAGAAATCATTACAACAAACCAGGAATATGACGAATTGGTGGCGAATAACTCGTCCTCAAGTATAACCTACTCTCCTTATATCAATGAAACAGCTAGTGGCTCATCGGTTTATCTAAGTGATGACAAAAACGCCAGTCTTCTGTCCCGCTGGGATGAGAGATCGTTTTCATCGATCAGAGAAAAAGTCAGAAGGTCTACAAAATATTCAAAATGCTCCGGATGGACTATCTGCTCGTTCATTGTAAAGTCGGGGAATGTTTTGCGGCATGAGTACTTAGCCTACCAGGTGCTAACCCAGATGAAAGAGATTTTTATTATGGAAAACCTGCCAATTTACATTAGAAATTACAAAATCATTCTTGTTTCAGATACGACAGGACTGGTAGAGACAGTGAACGACGCCCAGTCGATTCATCGAGTCAAGTTTGAGACAAAATTTAAGACTCTTGAGTCGTATTTTAAGTACCTTTTTGACGGCGATAAATTCGATATTGCCAAAAGGAACTTCCTTTACTCACTCGTAGGATACTCGTTGGCATCATACATTCTTCAAATCAAGGACAGACACAATGGGAATATCTTGATTGATGGTTTTGGCCACATTATTCATGTAGATTTTGGATTTACATTTGGAAAGCATCCGGGAATAATTTCAGTTGAAAATGCACCATTTAAAATTTCCTCGGAGTATCTTGAGTTGATTGATATTGAAGAGTTCAAAAGCCTATTTGTCAAAGGTTTCAAGGCCTTGAGAAAACACAACGAGAAACTGTCGAGGATGGTTGAGATCATGCAGGACAGTGGATACTATGAAAAAATAGCTTTTGCAGAATTCACAGATAGATTAAGATTGGCTGATAGTGACAAGGATCTTGAGATCTACTGCCAGGGTCTGGTAGATAGATCGATTAAAAGTATGAGAACGATGTTCTACGATCAATTTCAATACCTGTCAAATGGCTATCTTTAATAAATTAGCATATGACTAGTAGAAAACAGCTAACAATCTACATCAACCCAATGTTTTTATCTTGACACATATTTCTACATTTAATGATCTCGGCCAACTGCCGCGCCCAGTTGCTATTTCAAGTGTGCAGCCCAAACCTTGACAGCCAATATTTCTTTGAAGTTATCTGTGCTTTATCTCTTGCCCTAGTAAAATTTGAGAAATGTATAATGAAGAAGCCAGATTTTTAATGCAGGATGGGATGCTTGAGGAACAAGAGAATCAAGAAAGAAGGGCTGGAGCAGAAGAAAAGCAAATGACGCCTTACAAGAGTCAAAGAAAGGGCGCAATCAACAGAGTCAAGTCATTTTCAAAAAGTAAAGAAAGAGCAAGGAGATTCAAAGGAATGCCAACTGTTAAGGGTAGAGAGCCTGAATTTAATCGAATTAAGAAACAGATAGACTCGTTTCTTAAGTACAAAAACAACAGCATTCTTTACTTAACTGGTGTCCCTGGATCTGGCAAGACACACACTACACTTACTCTCTTAAATTATCTTGAAGTTCCCTATTCATATATCAACTGCTCCACATTGAAGACCAGAAAGGATATTTATAAGGAGATCTGTGATGCAATTGAGTGTGCTTGTGAGATAAGGAATGGGACCTTGCAATCACTAAGGTACCATTTAACTAGTTGCTGCCATAGCCACATTATAGTCGTTGATGAAGTTGATTTTTTGATAACTAAAAATGAAAGCTTTCTGTACAATCTATTTGAAATGCCCTTTATGGACAGCTGCAAGATGTTTTTGGTTGTCATATCGAACACACTTGGCAGTCTAAGTTCAAAGCTAGAGAGTAGGATTGCAAAGAATAGGATCGAATTCAAGCCATACAATGCAAATCAGCTGATGGAGGTTGTTGTGTCTGAAATCCAAAATGGAAGCACGAAGGTTGACCAAAAGTCGCTAGAGCTAATAACAAAGAGGATAGCCTCTTCTACAGGAGACATCAGGAAGGTCAGGGAGATAATTGAAGAGTCGGAAAATTTAAATCTGAACCGAACAAGCCATATTCTCAAAGACATGGCCACTCCCCTTCTCAACAAATTTGTGGTTTCGCTCAATTTCTACCAAAAGCTCGTTCTTTTTCTCAACACCCAGCCTTTAAAGTCAATGGCTGAGTGGTTTAATGAGTTTAAATCATTTTGCAAAATTAAAGGCTATCCTGTCTTAAGCTTTGCGGATTTTCAATTCGTTGTAAACGATTTAATGTCATTTGACATCTACAGGATGCGAAAAGACGGTATTTACATAGCTTGCAACTACCTGCAGGAAGAAATGGAAATGGCAATGAAGAATGATCCGTGTTTTGATGAATTCAAATCCAAGAAGATTGGGCTTTCTGACTGAGAAGACATATTGGTTTTTGCAAAGTTTGTATCCTTCAATTAAATGCCGACAGTGTTTCCGCATTCTTTTAAATACACGAGCCTCGTATTTTCAGTCAAGTGACTTATATCCAAAAGTGTAAAGCTGAAGTCTTATCGGCTACCATCATTCCCTGAATAGTGTCTATCGAGCGAACAATCCACAAGAATATCCAGGCGCACATTTTATAATGTAATTCCAACGAAGATAATACATTGGTTACTGAATATCCTTCATTTATTCAATGTGCAGGTTTTCTGTTTCTAAAAATTTTATACTGTGCCGAGTATATGCAAATACCGACAGTCGCTATGCCAGCAAAGAACAACAGTCTTTGATAGAATCCTAAATTGTCAAGGAAAGGATAGATGTACCTTCCAAAGTAGGTAGCATATGCAGTTACAAGTATGTAATACAGCATTGCGAAAAGTACAAAAAACATCAGGTGATAGTCGCATGGCTTCAGAGTGAAGTCTGTATATTCAATATAGCTTAGAATTAGGGGAAACACATGCGATGAAAGCCTGGAAAGCAGCGGGGTTTCGTTTCCAGGTTTTAGTGTCTCCTTATCGACAATTAATTTTTTGTCAATCAGAAACAAAAGCCAATAGATAAAGGTAACTATAAATTCAAAGGTAAAGGAGACTGGAAGAAAAAAGTTCTTAATAAAGTGGAAGTTTCCAGTTATTCTGTTGATGATTCCAGAAATGGCTGAAATGATTGTTAGGAGAAGAGAGATTTTTGTAAATAGCAGGTACTTGTAGTTATTGTATTCGCTAGTTGATTTGATACTGTTTGGATTTTCAACATAGTCGAAGAGTGAAAAAATACTGGTCAAAATGAGAAAGGATCGTGTCAGAGACACTATAAATCTCTGCTTTGGATTCATGCCTGTCAATATTTGGCTGGGGTTGATGGCTATAAACATACCAGGGTTTATTTACTTTCACATATAACATTGGTATTAGAGTACATCTAAAAGTTGGTGGTTGCTCAGATGAGCACCGATGCTACACTGTTGGGCACAGGTCGGTACAAGAGTGCTTGATCGCTATTTTTATATCCACGCCAAAGCACAATTTTGATTACTCAGCACACGGTGTACTCTATCCTAAACCGTCCCTAGTTGCAATAAACGTGCCGACGAGGTGCTATTTAGCATGGATTAACTCTGTGGCATGTTTATGTCCTAGCTACAGGTTCTTTCATTTTGTTCTTAGAACACCCTATGGATAAATTTCTTAAACTAGACGCAGAATTCACACAAGATGCGAAGGTGTTCAAAAGAATAATGAGGAAAATTGTATTTAAAGACGCCATCACACTAGACTCGTATCTTTCTCTTATAAAACTTCCACTTTTCAAGAAATTGCTATACAATGACTTTTACAAATCAGATGAGTTGAGGGCGAGCTACGAAGAAATCGTAAGAAAAGAGACAAGTGGAGTCGAGAAAATGATCTTTCAACTTTTGTGCAAAAGACCTGTTGGATTCAAGGACATAAAGCTCAAGTTTCTCTTTTATAAAGAGTTTCCAGATCAAAGAGAATACTTTGTTAATGAAAACCCAACGGTAATCTTTGAAGCCCAGGATTTGCTGTTCAGACAGGTATATTTCCATGAAAACGTAAAGGGAAAAATGCAAAACCTGATCCAAAAATCTCCATTTAAACACAAAATATTTTTCATACTGGCAATGAAAAATTGCTTAAGCTTGAGTTTCATGAAAGACGTAATATTTAATATTAAGGAGCATCAAAGCCTGATTAGAAAAGAGTTTAATCTAAAAGACTCTGAGTTTTTCAAATACTGGGTCCTGGCCCTCAAATCATTGCCTGAAAAGGAGTTCTATGCAATAGTAACATCTGAAATGGTCTATTCACCCTTTATTGAAAAAATCCAATTGCTAAGGGCAGTTGAAGATTTGGTTAGCCATCAAAAACTAAGTTTGTGCATTCTAAAGGAATGCTTCAATTCTGAACTCCCAATAGTAAGAATCTATGTTGTGTTTCTAAAGATTACCGAGATGCTGTGTCTCGCATATGGATTTAAACTAAAGCTACTTTACTCATGGCTGAGATACTTCCTGTATGAAAGGCAGATCGATTTATTTTTTGATTTAATGGGGAAGCATGAAGAAGGCAAAGAAAAAAGACAGGGAATTTGAATTTTACTGTGTTTTGGAAGGGTATCTGAAGGAAGAAGTGGAGTTTGACAGGGTTTTGGCATTGGCTGGTAGCATTGGGGATGAAAACCAGTTTTCAACCATAACGATTGGCCAGATAGTTGAAAAATACAAAGTAAACGGCGAAGAGCAGAAAGACTGTATCCTACAGCAGTCTAACTCCTGATTCGGATACTTCTTTTGTAGGTCTCTGTGCGGAGAGATTCGCCGTGTCAAGATGAAAGAAGGCATAGATGGACGCGACATCAGCATTCCAAGAGCATAACTATGCAGAGGATCTTTTATTTAAGAGACTGAGCATCATTATAAATGCAGATCGGCCTATATGTAGATGCTTCTATCTAATCCTTAATCTACAAGAGCACTGTCATTTTTCTATCTCATCCGCACATTCACTTGCCTGATCGGGCCCTAAAGGCTTTTTGAGAAATGATTTAAGCTTCTCAAATTTCTCAACGTTAAATCCCTTGTAGCTATTCAGCACATCCTCTATTTTGTGGGTATTAACTTTTGATTCTCTTTTGTATTTGTCCTTCAGATTACTTCTTGTGCGATCTGGAAAAAGAAGATTCATAATTGAAAAATCAAGGCCACAGCACTCCAAAGCACTGTAGAAAAGATCATTCTCCTCCCTATTCCATCTCTTTCTATTTCCCTTGTTCTTCATGTACGTATATGATGTCACGATTTCTTCTTCAAAAGGCCAGGTGCATCTAAACTTATGACTATTTGGTCGTTCACGACCTGCAGTATGCTTTCCTTCTTTTTTTGGCGCTTCTGCGGCAGCTTTGTGAAATTTTTATTATCTAGAAAGTATTTCAAAGTTCTCTTTTCCATGGGTGTGCTACAGAGCCCAACGAAAAGGAGTGCGACAAGGGAAGATTGGAAAGTGTATTGAAGAAACACAATGCTTCTATGACATTGAAAGCATAATATTTGACAATCATACTCAGATGCTTAAGATATTTAACGTTATCTCGGACTTCTTGGTAATCCACCATTCTAAAATAAACTTCGTTGTGGTTTAAATTTAGTATTTTAAATGTTGATAGATATATTGACTATTTCTCTATTTTATATCTACTCCCTTTGAAAACAAAAAATTTTATCTACCCTTATAATGTCCTCAAAGGAATATCAAGAAGCAATCCGAAAAGCACACTATTACGACCTAGCAGAGAGGTACCAAGACATGGCCGAGGAAATGAAAAAGGCCGTTATATGCATAGCAAAGGAGGGGCAGGAGCTGAGCGTTGCCGCCAGAAACTACCTTTCTCTTGCTTTCAAGGATTTGGTAAGCTCTAGGAGGAGCAGTTGGAGGGTACTGGTTGCTGAGAGAGCAAAAGTAAAGGAAAAACAACCAGAAGAGCTGCACATAATAGATGAGATAATAAAGAAAGTAGAGACCGAGTTACTTGACTATTGCAATGAAGTTCTTGGGATTATTGAAGACTATATTCTTCCTAGAATAGATAAATGCTCGCTGACCCACAATGTTTTCTTCTTAAAGATGAAAGGTGACTATTACAGATACATGGCCGAGATAAAGGAGACGTACAAGGACAAAAATGTGCGGGAAGAGGCTTTAAGGGGATATGCCGAGGCAAAGAAACTGGCAGATGGTCTTAGCTTTACAGATCCTATACGCCTGGGGCTTTATTTAAACTTCTCGGTTTTTGAATATGAGATAATGCAGAATCCGAGTGAAGCTTGTAAATTGGCAAGGACAGCATTTGATGCTGCGATATCCGAGCTTGACACACTCTCTGAAGATTATTATAAAGATTCGACGCTGATTATGCAGCTTTTGAGGGATAATCTTACTCTTTGGACCTCGAGAGAGGAAGTTGATCAGGCAAAAGGCGAAAACCTGGAGATGTCTTGAATTAAATGATGAACTTTAACACTATTGTTTTACAATATGCTTTGTTTTTGTCTTGGACGATTCGCTGTAACTGGTCTTTGGTTAAACTGCCATCCATAAATAAGCTAGATAGTCTCGAACGAGTATTTTTAACCCTAGAAAAATGTTTGCCAAAATTTTAATATCCTCTTTGGGCCTACCTGGCATATTTACGAATGAACAAGCGCTGTTTCAGTGCTAACTGAAAGGTACAAGCGGAGACATTGAGTGTATTGCAACACTGCACTTTAATCAAGGATGGCTTATGCCCATCCATTTTAATACATTTAAAGGAGCACTCCTTAACAGCTTATCAATAGCATGAAGAGCCCCTTTAATGGAAGAGGTCTCAGTAGACAGATCATCAGCTAAAATTGACCATGAACCTGCAATAAAAAAGTATTCTGAGTTTCACAAAAAGGAAATACAACAAACCAAGAAGTTTTTCAAAAGATGTTTTATGCTTATTTTAACTGCCGTTTTATTAGCATCGATGCTGCTGCTCAGCAACTCCGTTAGAGACAGAGTGGTAGAGAAGTACCAATCTGATCCGAACAAGACCTTTTATTACAAGCTCGCCCACTCCTCTTTTGCTATTGTGGTAGCCCTGAACGTATTTTTGGTAATTTACTTTATATTTCTTATTACTAAAATGATAATCAAAATACATTCTCCAGAAGCCATACTGCTGCCTAATGTTCTCGAGCATTTTGCCATGCAATTCAGCCAAATGGCTACTTTGATTGTTTTGAGCTGCCTTGCTCCCCATGAGCTTTACTATCCTGCTGGAACGCTGGCTCGTGAGAAACAATCTTGGCTATTTGGTTTACACGTCTGGGAGACCAGCAAGAGCTGCGACAGTAGTCAGATTTACAGCATATACTTGCCGGCAATCTTCAAAATACTAGGAGTACTATTGGTCAGGGATTTGGTGATCTACCTACTTAATTTTAACGTCCACTACAAATATTACGAAAAGAGAGTTGAGCAGAATACTGAGAAAATAAACATTCTCAGAGCAATGACTGACATAACCAATGCAGGATATGTCGGAGATGTAGACATTATTGCCAAGAGATTCATTCAGGTAGTTTCACAGAACGGCCCAGTTACACAGTGCACCTTGCAAACGTTTTTCAGCGAGGAAGTTTCCTACAAAATCTTCAAGCACTGCAACAAAACTAGTACGGACAGTGAACTAACAGAGGAGGAAGTCAAGGAATTCTACATCTCGACACTTGTTGAGCAGCAGGCAATAGTAAAGAGCATTGAGCAGCACAACGCAACAGTTGATAGCTTCCGAGGTGTGCTTAATGTGCTCATAATTCCAGTTTGTCTGTACCAATTTTTAAGCATGATTTTGTTTATTAACCGCGAAGATTCGGAGATAATGAAAAATACATATTTCCTAGGAACGCTGGTTTTCTCAATGAACTACACATTTTCCGAATCTTTCAAAGGTTTTGTTAGCAGCCTGGGCTTTATTTTCTTTATCAGGCCATACGAAGTGGGAGACCTGTTTATTTTGAATGGCAAACTCTATAAGGTGCATGAGATTAACCTTTTGACGACGGTTCTTTTTGACGGATGCAACTATACGGTTTTCTCCAATTCCAAACTTTCAGGAGAATCCATTACAAACCTAAGACTGAACAGGGTTTGGGATGTTGAGTATACAACAACATTCAAGCTGGCAGACTTTGAGGCCAAGAATGCAATGATGCTGCTTGCAATTAACGATTACGTCAATAAGAAATCGTCGGAGTTTAGAAAAAATGCCTACTTGAGCAAGATTGTTCCAAAAGACGGCGGAAAAGTCGAGGCTACTATTTTGGTCAAGTTCAACAGTGATGTTTCGGACATTGAGGTGCTTAGTAAAAGGAAGGCGGACTTCTTCTTCAAGCTTCAGGAGATTTTCAAAGGAGTTGAACTTTTGCCGTTAAAAGAATAAATTAGGTTAAAGACGAGGCTTTTATTTTAGAAAGCTTAAAAAACCTTGAAAGAACGTAGGGCAACCAGCGGTCTACAGTTACTTAAATTGCGCATCTATAATATCCATTTTTTATGAATAAACTCCATACAACAAAGCCCAAAGAAGGAAAATAGCCTTATAAACAACTTCTTATAGACTTATACATATGAAGCATCAACGATAGTACAAATACTGTTCTTACATGCAGGCTGCAGCTAACCGGCCCTAGCATTATATATGCAAAGTATTACAATGCAATTTAATTATTAAGTTCTACAATGCTTGTCCAAGGGCTACTTTCCTGTCCCTTTCCATTTCTTCTGCATCGATATTTGCATTCTTCTCTGCTTCTTCAACTGACTGGTTTCCAATATCTATGAACCATGTCCTAAAATAGCCTACCTGCTTAAGACGATTAACAAGAACATGAATATATGATGGCAGAATGCAGTCAGAAATAAGTCCATCAAAAGTGCGGACTATGATTTCAAATGGCTGGAAGTTGCTGGTTTCTATTTCAATCTCATGCCTTTCGTCTCTGAAAACTATTATTAGCCTGAATATTAGCACATTCCTCTCAACAGACAAATGCTTATTTGGATCTTTGGCAATGCCAACCAGAAAGCCTTCTCTTGAATAAACCACAAACGGGAAGACTATTTGGTATTGGTTTTCATATGGCATTCCATCAAATTGCAGTCCAAATAGCCTGAAATGAACCATATTACCGCCAGGGGTAACGAGAAAGACAGACACAGGCTCACAGACAACATTGATCCGTGTTTTAGATTTTATCAAAACAGCCCCAACTTTAGTGAGTATCTTTGTGGAGATCTTGAGCGAGCGTTGTTTGGGCAAAAATCTATCCATGATTGAATACACCATGTCCACGGCTGTTCTTCTAGTTTTTGTAAAAAGACCATTCGGCAATGGAATGTTCATTGACCTTGCAGTAGAATACAATATTTTGTAGATCCGTCTGCAGTTTGATTCTGCAACCACTACCTTCACATGCTCGTCATCATTTGTTCCTTTGTACTCCCTCAAACGTTCGGTATCAATACCGAACTGCAGCTGAATTGGAGCTCCAAGCATTGAGCTGTGTAGTCTTTTTAATGGCATGTGCTTTAGAAAGCGATCGATCTCTTTCTTGTTGTTCTTGAGTATTCTCTTCAATACCTGGGTGGTTTCATAATGGTCTTGGCTGGACGTAAGTTCACGGAATAATGATCTGTCTGGACACCTCAATTCATATCTCTTTTTGGAAATAATGATAGAGAGTCGGTTCAGTGCAAGAAATGGAACTTCACTTTCATCGGGCTTGACAATTGATAGCATAACCGAAGGTACATCCACTACTTCAATACTAATTTCCATGAAGTTTGGAAATTTTGATAAAGGTAAGCTGTTTAAAACATCTTCACAGCTTTTAACAAGTATTTCATCTAGTTTCTCAGAGTAGACTCTAAATCCAAGCCTCATTTCTGTTCTGGAAGTTGCTTTGAATGAAACAGGCTCTATGTGCAGCATGCTGTTCTCTGCATCTTTCATGCCATGCTTATTACCATCGGCCACATTTCTCGTTTCTCGTTCCAGAATATCATCCTGCTTCGTCTTCTTTGAGACGCGAATGGCATCATTGTACAGCTGACAGATAACACGCCTATCAATTCTTCTTTCTTCAACCAAATTACCATCGACAGATAGACTTACAAGATATGACTCTGCCGAGAAGTCTAGCGTGCCATTTACCGACAGGGATATTTTAGAGTGTGTTGCATTTTGCGAGACCTGTGCAGACATCACAACTCGCTTGCCTTTATCACCATTTGGCGAGATTGTTAGTGCTAATGCATTCGCAATGTTTAATTTTAGATCATCAGGAATGCCAAACACACTCTTTGGTATTTCCACAGAGAAATTCATGTGAAGTGTGCTACTCTTTTCACTTAACTTGAAATATGACGATATCACACTATTTTTATCAGTTTCAATGAATTTCTCAGGCCTATCTTTTGCAAATGAACTAAAATCGACGGAAAGAAGGAAAGATATCAGCTTTAAAGTCACTGAGTCTTCTGCACTATGCGTATCTAGATTTCCAGGGCACATCTGCACAACAACCGTTGTTGGATTTAGAGCTTTGATGGCAATGTATGTCTCAGAGACATCGATCTGAAAGCTTGGCTGTTCGGCGCGGATCATCAGCACACTCCCAAGAACTTTATAGTTTGCAGTGATGTCATTAAGAAATATCCTGTTTTTGATTGCAAAACTGTTGTTTTTTTGGATAGTTGCAATCTCCTCTGCATTTTGTGTTTTGGAATTTGAACTAATACTAAAGCAGTGATGAAAGAAAGATTTAGAATCTAAATGGCCGATTTCCAGACATGGAAATACTTTGAGTGGAGATGAATCCTTGGCTGCTTTTGTAGGTGCACTTAATTGTTTTGCTATCTTTACTGGTATTCTAATGCAATCGTTTATTTCAAAAACAATGTTTGAGTTGAAAATATCATTCAATGCTGTAGAATCAAACTTCTCATATTCCTCAAACAATTCAGCCTTCAATTCAATCTCAATGTTGTGGAATATTTCATTTATGCCATCGTTGTCCTCATTAAAATTTATCCCAATAAAATTTTGGCAGGTGTTCTTCAGTTGAATACAGCCCTTAGGACATTTGAAGCGCAAAATAAATTCTGGAAACTCAACAAGCAACTTTAGATTTGCTACCTTCTTATACTTACAGTTTGAAAATGTTGTTACAAGCACGAATAGGTCATGGCCAGCAGGCTTTCTTAATCTGTGTTCCAGGAGAAAATCAACAGTTTTGGCCTTGCACGCGGGATAACTTTTAGCAAGCATCTTAACCATGGTGTTTTCATAAATCAGCAGATAAGAGTCTCCTCGCTTCATCTGCATCTCCAACTTATCCAGCCACATTGTCTTTGGATGGCAGCTTTTAAAGGACAGCCTGATATTATCAACTGGCTTATCAGAGTACAGGACAATGCTCGACATGCTATCAAAATAAACACTAAATGCCATATATACGAATTCTGAGCCACAGTCAGCAATATTTTCTAGCGGATTGAGCAAGCTTAATTTAATGGTGCACAAATGACTATCATTTAAGCGCATGCTCATTTCAGGTATATAGTTGGCCAGCAGCTGTTGTACTATACAGCCCAGGATTAGGGTTTTTTTATTGCAGTTAATGATGCATTTCCAACAAATTTTGTCCAGGCAAAATGTGAAAATCTCTGACTTTCCAATTTCCATTGAACAAGTGAAGCTTGCCCTCACTGAACGGAATTGTTAAACTAACAAGATTACGCTCGTTGGATTTTTGATAGACAAGAACATCCTGCTCACTTGATGTCTTCTGATTTGCGACGCTAGATTTACGGTGCCAAACTCGATCAACCTCAATGTGTATGAGCTTCTTTTCCCAATATATTTGCAAAATTTTTACAATAATGTTTGGAGACCCGATATCTGGAACCAGCACATCAAGCCTGTATCCAGCAGAGGACATGCTCACATCTTTAACAATGACTCTCAGTGGTATGGGCATTGTAAAGTTTAAATGGAAGTTCTCGAAATGTAGGTCGACATCTTTGATAAGCTTTGCTCCATGAAGAGGCATGAAACTCAGGACAACCCTATTATAGCATCTACCTTCGAACTGTACATTTTTGATGTCGAAGCTTTTTAATAAATCACACTTCTCAAGATTCTCCCTCGAACGTCTATCGGGCTGGACGTTTAAAGATTTGAAAAACTGATCAATAACCATGTTTTTATCTTTAAATCCCGAATTTGCATTATTGTCCAAGAGCATCTGGTCAATTTTAAATAGCTTCTTATTTACAACAAATGTAAGGGGTATGAGAAGGAATCTTAGGCTTACAACCATGCTCAGCTCAAGAGTGATCTTTCGATTACTATTTAGAAATGCAGGAATTTTTGAAAAATCAATATGATTTAGTGCCACGGTTGAGTTAAACTCTATGTTTCCAAACTTATTGAGTTCAATATGACCAAAGCTCAGCTCGCATACGCTGTAGATCCCTCTTGGAGTTTCGATGCAAACACTAGCCGTTGAAGAATAAAAATCAATATAGAGGGGGGAAAAGGCATCGGATTTGAATGAAATCAAGCAGGAGCTATCTTTTGCTGAGTTGTATTTTAGATTTTCAATGTAGAAGTTAGAGCATTTCAGTCTGAAGATTGTAAGGGATATGAGGACTATTCTGTAGAAGAGCATGTAGAGAATAAAACTTGTTGCTGCACTCAAGGCATGCTTCCTAACTCTCTTAAGCTTGGTTTTCCAGATGCTACTCATGAAAGGGGGATTAAAGCTGAAATAAAATGGATTCTGTTCATCAAATTTGATGAAAAACTGAGATATATTTAATACGAAGTAACAGTAATGTACAGTTCGAATGGAAAGATTTATGGGGAAATTTACCAACACTGAATAAGAAAACTGGAAACGAAATTGCCCAGTGAAATGAATAATAAAAGATAGCCAGGAGTATGGACCAGTTAAAATTGAGAGAAACAGCCAACAGCACCAAGATGTAACATACTGTCGACTCTATTTAATTAAATTACAGCAAATACTCTTAATTCTATTCAGCACTATTATTTGACAATAGACAACTGTATCTCAACGAATACAGCCAATCTGTTTATGCTTAGATTGCGTCACACTTGGAACTCTTCATCTCTCATTCTAGTCATTATTTGAGGAGTAGCCGAGCCTGCTTGAGTTTTGGCCCGGTCTATTCCCTGAGAATGTATGCCTTGACACAGGGATTATCCGGAGTGCCGCAGTTACTATCGTTTAAAAATTCTCTATTTATGTCGTTTCTTAATCCAGGTTCCTCTTGTAATCCCATGCCTTGTAACAGCCTCCTTAATCTATGCTCAATATTCTTATTTCCACCGCTTTTATTGCTTTTGGAGTCGTAATATGGTACATGCTTTCTATTCGAACTACCGCTAGATCGCCTTTTCATGGCTCTTTCTGGAATTTGATCACTATCTGAGGGATCAAATATTTCATTTGATAATGGCAAGGCCCCATAGTCATCCTCCCTCTCGGGCACCAGCTGTATCAGCTTAGGCCTAACTGTGTCTAGTTTGCGGATGTTGGGTCTGGCAGATTTGGATTTCCTCTCGGGCGCTTTCGATGCAGTAGCAGTAACCGTGACTGTTCTTTCGAGCTGAACAGTGTTGGTTGCTGGTGAGCTTATTGTTTTGGTGATTGTCACTGTATTTTCTGGCTCTGCAGTGGTGCTTGAGGTGCGTTGCTGGCTCTTTGTGCTCGTACTAGCATCTGAAGTGGTGATGGTTTTTGTAACCGTCACTGTCGACGATATGGTTCTGTCAACTGGGGATGCAGTTACGACAACAATGGTCTGAGTGGAAGTAAATGCTGGACCATCCATACTAGCTGTTTTGGTTACAGTCAAGACCGAAGCAGGATGGTTCAAGGTCCTGAAGACAGTTGAGTATGCTAATGAGGATATTGGGACAAACGATGTTCTAATGCTTAGCCTTGTAATTTTTTGAGGGGATGCACTGTAAACAGGTTTGCTTGTGCTTTGAGCTGATGGAACCTGCATGCATTCATCGATTTTGAAACAGAAACTATTCGTTTCATATGGAAGACTATTAGCAAAAGCCCTATTGGGCAGTTTTCTGTTCATTAAATCGGGCTCTATTAGCTCGTCTACTGAATTGTACTGATTGGGTTCAGACTTATCATCTAAGCTTACGCTACTCTCAGGTTCGTTCTCTCCCCGCTCATCTATGTCCTTGCCAAATACCTGTACCCAAAATCTACTTCCTTTTTTGTCCAGACAGGTTGCTACACCTGTGTAGTTGAAGCCACCCATAATATTCTTTCTATGCTTGTCGCTTTTCATCCACATTTTGGCAACATCCTCATAGTTGTCACTGTGATTTTTAGCAATGTTTTCACCGATGGAAGATCCTTTGAATCCATTTTTCTTTGCTCTCTCCTCTAAGTCACCACCTGGGTTGGTGTGAGTAAGGCTTGAATTCTCACACATATAAAGTGCTTGATCACGTGCTGCATTTTCCAAATTCTGGATCGACTTTAGATGCTTCAGCCCTTGGTCACTTCTATAGTTGTTGATTAGATTTAGCATGGAATGTGCAAGATTATTACATGTGATTGAAGTGATGTATAGGAATATCAATGCATATGCCATTTGTTTTGAGTAATGACACAGACCTAGAAAAGAAGATATGAAACAGTGTTACAGGTTATAAACATCGGCGATGGGGCATAAGAAAAGTAAAGAGTTTATATAACACACGTAATGCTTTACAAATAAGACTACAGGCAAGATAATGCTAGAAACCAATATCTGGCAAGCCAATATATTATTTATTTCAATCGTAAGTGTCTATATTGCAGATGTAAAAATTCTTATCACCATATTTACAATTCAGCCGATCCATATGCAAGAATGTGCTACCACATAGACACATCGTTATACTTCTAGATTCATCTGTATTTCAGCGAGTTTTCGATAGCTTTTGAAATAACCTGGAAGGACGATTTTTTGCTATTTAAGCACTTCAGAACCAAGTAGTATTGCGAAAACAGTACATTAAAGTACAGAGTAACCTTAAAATAGCACTCCTCATCGTTGTTAAGGAACGAGCAGTAGTATCCATGCTCATCTGCTTCAAAAGCTATCGAGTTCTTTCTGAAAACATCCAAAATAATTTTTTTCAAGGCATTGTGCGATCCAATGTGTTTCACCCTGATTCCCTGAAATACCCCTTTTATGTAGCTTTTATGGATACTTGGAAAGTTATGTTCAGTTTCTGCGTAGCCGAGCTACTTTCCTGGCTTGAATCTTGAAATGCGCCGGCAAAGAAGTATTTGGAAGGCCTCTGGGATGAACTATTTGAAAACACAAACATTACGAATTTGTGAAGCGTGTCGGTGATGCTGGAAGATCTATTGTCAAATCTCAGCAGACGTGTATTGACATTTGAATAGGCTCCTATGTTTTCTGAAAGAAGATAGTACATCGATATTATGGGATTTTTTGTCCAGTAGACAGTGTCCAAAGACTCTGTTTGCTGCTTGCAGATATTAAAAAAGCTTTCAAGATGCTCACTTGTATTTGAAAATTGAAATGAGAGTGCAGAGTGAAGTGCCTTGACATATTCGTTGTTTAGTTTTGCCAGTGGAAATCTTTTGCCCACGTAGCTTTCCACCTTAGATGAATATCCAGTATTTATCCACTTTGAACCGATAATTTCAGGCAATGTAAATCTTTTTGCTACATCAGGCACGATCATATTTGATATCAGCTCTTGGGCATGCTTCGATAAAGAGACCGTGTACTCAAAGCTGGCCACTTTTATTTTGTTCTGGAGCTCTCGAACACTTTCGTCATCGAAAGGCACCTTTCCACACAGCATGACATATAGGATGACTCCAAGGCTCCAAATATCAACCTCAGGCCCGTTGTATGTATGGCCAAGAAGCAGCTCGGGTGCTGCAAAGTACAAACTTCCACAAAATGTTTTGAGAAAGTTCTTGTTATCGTAAAAATTCGACAGCCCAAAGTCGAGTAATTTTACGTTGTCGTTATGATCAATAATGATGTTCTCGATTTTAAGATCCCTATGCACTATTGAGTTTCGATGGATGTAATCTATTGCAGAGAGCACCTGTCTAAAGTATTTTCTTGCCCGTTCCTCAGAGATCCTAGTTTCCTTCAGTATTATGTCGTACAGTTGATTGCCCTTAACATACTCAAAGACAAGGAAAAAGTACGAATCTGAATATAGAAAATCTAGCAATTTTATAATATGAGGATGGTCCAAAAGAACAGAAATAACCACTTCTCTGTAAATTCTCTCATCGTTGAAGCCTTCATTTGCAATATCTGTTGGATTTTGCGTCTTTAGCTCAAATCCTTGACCTTCTGGTGCAGGGCTTTCCTCCTTTTGTTTTCTTTTTACGATCTTGATTGCAGCTCTTCTTCCACTATTTTTATCAAAGGCTAGAACTACCTTTGCGGTACTCCCCGTTCCTAGCTCCTTGATTATAATGTAATTTCTAATTGAAACATTTTCAACGTATTCTTCGTCAGAGATGTGACCTGAAATGGAGCGGCCGTCTGTCTTTATGACCATGCACACTGCAAAAAATGAACTTTTATAGCTTAAGGAGATAGCCTTTAATATTAGTGGTGCAGCTTTTTAACCAATTAGACTTTTCAATATAAAGCAGCAAATCAAAGGTGTCCTACTATATAATATTTTTAATGCCAAGCTTACTTAAGCATTCAAATTACTACAATGCACATCAGACTAAAGTTTATTAAACGTTATTTTTACAGCAACAGATCATGAGTTTCAAGCTTTTGAATCATCAGGATTCTTTTTTTCACGTTTATTTTTTGGCGATGAAACTAATGCTTCATGCGGATTTGGGTTACAGTTGTTTGAATATGGCGATCTTGTTGCCCTTACAACACTATTCTGTGACGCCGATGGCACAGACGCATTTACACCGGATGTATTTGTGGCTTTGGGAAATCTAGTTATCGTAGACGCATTTCTCATAACTCCATTTCTAAACGCAGAATTGCCAGTAATCTCATTTGGATTTCTCTGTGAAGTACTTGCAGACAACTCTGCGCCTTTTTCGATTTTCTTGAAAAGTTGCGAGTGCGATGTGGAAACCGAAAAGGTTCTACTTACGACTACCTTTGGAATCTGAATCTTCTTCATAGGCTCTATTCTTTTGAATTGATTTTTGAAAAGTTGCAACATTTTCTCCTTTGTCAGGTCTTGTTCGATTTGCACTGGCTTTAGTGAAAAAAATCCGCCAGTAAAAGTAAATACGTTTTTGAAGGATGGCTTTTCTGTAGAAACGTCTTCTTTCTTTTCGTTTGTGACTGTTTCTTTGGGCTGATGGCCTTCCTGCAATGAACAAAGTGTCGGAAGCAGATTCACGTTCTTTTTCTTGTATTTGAGCAGCTTTTTAAGCACTTTTTGGATTTTTTTGATGTCTTCGGTCTCTTTGTACGCGTTTACATAGTCATCCAAGCCATAGACGACACATGGGTCTCTAAGAATGTCCTGAAGAGCAAAGAATGCTGATTCATCCATGAATCTCCTCAACTCAAGCTGCAAATCAATGAATTCTTTCTTAACTGCAAAGTCCTGGGATGTATTTCTGCTGTTCATGGGACGTCTTATCTTTGGGGTTAAATAGGAGAAGCACCGACAAAGATAACAAAGTTTGATTTGCAAACCATTTCTAGGCAAAATAGCATCAATTCTGCCTTTGAAGCATAACCTAATGGGCAAAGCTTATATAAACCGGTCCACTTTAGTGCATGATATAAATGTTTATTCAAGGCTCCAGCTGCTTTTAGCCAAATTTGGCCACAGTAAAACTAAGAACATTTGTACGGCACCAATGTGTTTGAAACACAGTTTGGACCAACGAGAGCAAAGGATTCCTTAATCCCGTTTTTACAAAATTTTCTAAAGCCTACATCCCAGTGATGACCTTTAAGACGAAGAGTTATTTAGACTCATTAATAGCAAAGTTCTATGGAAAGCAATCCAGTTTTATAACGGCCATATTGAACAATGACACAAGTTCTGCAAAAAAACTTGCTTTTGAACTTTACAAGGACCATCCTGCATATCTTCTGTTCTTTTGCTGTATTAACAGGGATGAGAACAGGCAGATCGTGTTGAATTTACTGGGAAGAAGCAAACAAATCGATCCTCACTTGCTATACTCACTGCTCAATTCAAAATCATACACCTATGATGACCTCAAAGCATTTATAGGTAATTTTAAAAGCGGCTCATTTATTGACCGCTGCATTGAAAAGGCAGCCTTTTTAAAGAAGCACGAACCATATCGTGGTACTAAGCCAGAAAATGGCTCATTTGATTCCGATGGCATAAGCTGTGAGCTAAATAAGCTTCTGGACGGGATTGACGATTTTCAATTGTATAAGTTTGCCATTGAGAACAGCATCGAAATCACGAAACGAAGCAGCTCTAACTACTTATGGTATATGCTAATAAAAGGATGCAATATCGGAGATACCTCAAAGGAGGCTGCTAAAGAGCTAATCCTAAGAACGACAAGCTTTCAAGAGATCAAAAGAATACTAAGCTATTACAGAGTTGAGGAGGTTGGCGATGATCGGTATGACATCATCATCAGGTACCTAAGCAACGGATTTTCTACCGATCTATTACGGCAAGCCTTTGCTCTTCTCAGTAAGGATCAATCATTTATTACAGTCAAAATCGTTCTTGCGCTTCTCATTGCCTCCAAAAACGAAAATCTTGTTGTCCTTGCACTATATTTATCACAAAAGTACCATTTTGAGACAAATTATGAAATCGCACTGGTTAACCTGCATTTATGTAGATATTTTCTGCTGTTAAAACAGTTGCTGTAAAAATAGAGGAGCTAGACATAAAAAACATCCAGCAGCACAATCTTGCGTATCTTTGGAGCGATCCCATGAATGTCTTAAAAGTCAGGCTGAATAATCACATAAAAACATTTCAGAGCGAAGTTAAAAACGAGATTGACGGAACGGAAGTTATGATTAGAAAATTCATAGACAGCAATTTGATTGCCAGTGCCGTTTCCTGCCTGGAACTGAGATCTAGTTTGGTTAATTCTGTTATTTGCAGTGAAATTAAACAATTAAAAATCAAGTCAATAGATCCCCAGACTATGTTTTCAGAGCTGCTTGGGGAAGAATGTAGATATATTTTTGATAAGATAACGGTTTCAGATCGTAGAAATCCGAGCGGATCGGTAAACACTCTTAGATCAGTGGCTGACCAACTGTTTTCAGATAGAATATATGAAAATGAGTTTATGAAAATAGCAGATCAAAATTTTATTACAGATTTCGAAAGATCTATATCCAAAAAATCAAGTAAATAGCTTAGCAGATTAAAGTATCATCTAGGCTTCCCTAAATTCCGCATTTCCTTTCACATTCTACATGCCACAATGTTCATTAGAAGCTGTGCACGGGTGTGCCGCACGGTATGTGTGTGGTTTGCTGATGACTTTACAATCACTTTCTAAGTTTGAAAAATTTTTAGAAAATTTTTAGCCCTCATGAGCTTGACCGAATCCCCAGCATCAGTGGCAAGAAAGCAGGAGATTCAGCAAAAGATTGCTGAGATTGTCAAACAGCAGAAGGAGGAATTCAAGAGAAGGGTTGAGGCCAATAAACAGTACGCTAAACTCATGACTGAAAAGATTCTCAAGGAATACAAGAAGGAGCATACAGAGCTTGAAGAAAGGCTCTCGAACACAAGCGAGATGTACGTCCCAGCCGAACCTAATTTCTTTGTTGCCATCCAAATAAGATCTCAAATCAAAATCTCTCCTCGTCCCAGGAAGACACTTGCGCTGCTCCGACTTAAAAACATCAATAACTGCGTCATTTTGAAGAACAACCAGAGCATAAAAAATATGCTTCAAAATGCAAAAGACTACATTGCGTTTGGAACCATTTCGTACGAGCTTCTTAGAAGATTGATTTACACCAGGGGATATGGAAAGATTAATGGAACCAAGGTAAAGCTCACCAATGAGAATATTGAGACAGCCTTCCAGGGTAAATTTAAGTGCATTGAAGAACTCTGTGATGTGATATACCATGGCAAAGAAGATATGAAGGATGTTCTTAGGTTTCTCTGTCCATTCAAGCTCGGCCCACCAAAGGGTGGATTCAAGAATGGTCATAAAAAAAGAAGCTTTGTGCAGGGTGGGTCTACCAATGACCACAAAGAGCTATTGGGAGAGCTTTTAGAGAGGATGATCCAATAAACGGTATTCTTATATCTGCTATTTTTTAGATGTCTTGATTTAGTGTTTTATTCTAGACAGATGATTGCAATTTGTGATGTTTTGTATGACAGGTTATTAAATCGTGAAGTGTCTGATCACAGTAGCAATCTCACTTTGACATTTTTGAAGCTGTATTGAGAAATAGTGGGCCGGCAATTAAAGTTTACAACAAAGTGAGTTTAAAGTCAAATATATGCACAGAGGACAGAATATTTTGTAATCACATCATCGCTTTCTGTTAAACTACTCTCTAAGTGTTTGTTGAGCAAAATTTTCATCAACTTAAGTTGGAGACAAAGACTAGAAGGTAAAGAGCAGTGCATATTTGCAATCGCTCAGAAAAGTTTTTGCAGCATGTCTTAAAAATACATTGGCTTGCACGATCAATTATTTGCTTTCTTCCTTTACCAGTCTTTTCTTAATCACTTTAATTTTCAAATTTATTTTGTTTATCAATTTAAAAATTTTTAAATTTGGAAACTACAAAAGATAACACAAAGCACAAATGAAATATTCTATCCCATGACTATTTATTTCAGTGATTTGCGTGCATTCAACTTGTTTTACATGTTTTGTTACATTTTTACTTTTTGTTTATTTTTATTTTCCCAATCTCCTCAACCGCCATGGGGGCTTTCCAGAACAGCTACAACTACGAGTCGCTTTTGGAAAACTTAAGAGCAACGCATGACACGAGGAAAAGAAGATTCGAGGAGAAGAAACATCTCATGAGTGATGAGGATAAAACCTTTGAGAAGTTCCTGTTTTCACTTGAGGCAGATGTTCTTGCAAGGAAGGATATACCAGAAAAAGAGGTGGTCCAATTCAACTTCGACGAGCTAATGAATGAGATAAGTGGTGTTGATGTGCAGGACTACTCTGACCAAACCAGAGATTTCGAAACGTCGTCGGGCAACGGCTCTGAACGGAAGCACACGTGTACCCATCCTGGCTGCAATAAATCCTATACCTCCTCACATGGTCTGAAGTACCATCTTTTACATGGGCACAGCAAAGACAAGGAGAATGTTTATAAGCCATTTGTTTGCACAATCCCAAAGTGTGGAAAGGCCTACAGAAACAGTAATGGGCTGAAGTATCACATGGCGAATGCACATTCTAGGAATGCTAAGCAATAAATTTAGATTAATACACCCAGTAATGTCTAGTATAAAGCGTTGACTTACTTTACAGGCCAGGAAGCTAGCCCATGCTATCCAGCGCCATTATTAGCTTTAAAAGTAAAGACTTTCAGTACCAAATATTAGCTTTAAATAAAATCTGACATAATTGCTAAGATCAATGGAGATGTGTCTTGCGTATATGCCAGGCCATTGTTTCATTTGCAAAGTATCGAGCATAGAACTGATAAAGGTCCCATATGCGAAATGCGATAGGCATAGCGAAATTGGCTACCACCTACCCAGAGAATAACTAAACTGCACTGCAGGCAGCCATACCCATTGAGAACACTAGTGCTTAGCCTCTATAAAAATTCAGTTTATTCAAAAATAATTGCAACATCAATCATATCGCCCTCTTTCTCTGGCAGAACATCTAAATATACCAAAAATTGCCCTTCTTTCTTTTTGCACAGCTCTGAAATAGTCTTTTCAAGATTCAAATCATACTTTGAACATAGATTCCAGTAAATAACCTTTGAACCGAATGAAACCATGCTTACCTCATCTCCAATTTCATCTCGAATTTGCTGAATAATATTCTTCAGAGTGCCATCCTTGAATTCAAGTCTTGACCAGACAGTATACTTTATCTTCTTGCCCTTATTTTCATAAAACAGCTCCTTGGGCTTAACAAGCTCGGTTGAAGCAAGGAAGGGCGCTGCAAGGTCTACATAGGAGTTTCGGAAGGGGATACCCGACAGATCCGCACCAACGTGCTTGGCCACTTTTTCTTTCTGCGTCGCATACTTGATTATTTCAATAGCTGCTAGTCCCGAAACAATAGCAGTCGTGGTGGCTATCGCTGGTATAATTCTTCCCGCAATTCCTCTAATAAAATGCTTTGATTTCTCTTTTATTTTGTAATTTCTTGCCCTTAAATTGGCTGCCGAATATACAAAGTCAACATGCCAAGAATCCTTATCAAACTCAAGGGGAGTTAGTTGGGAAAAGTTGGAGTTGGAATTTTCAAAATGAATGGGGTTGGGCTCTTTTAGGCTCAACACATTTTCTAGGAATGCATAAACCTCATCTCTAGAAATCTTTCTAACTTTAAAGCACTCTGCATAAAGATTGGCTGTTGAATGGACAAAGATAATGTGTAATTTGTCATTAATATTGAAGGAGATTGGGGAAGGCACTTTCTTCGGGGGGCTCCAGAACATATTGCCTTGATCATCAACATGGTCGGGAGGAAAGGTATTAAGGAGATTTTGAATAGAGGTAGAGAAGCTGTTAACAAACATGGAGAGAGCAGCCTTTAAACATTCCTCAACGTTCTTCGGAGCAGAGTCGTATATATCCTGAAGACCAGGATCCTTGCTTTCCAGGTATTCTTTTGCGTCCTGGACCCTCTCATTAAAGTGAAGCTTGAATTCACTCATGGCCCACTCAATGGTGTGCTCGATAGAATAAGGATAGGACTTAATAGTGCAAAGGGGAATGGACTTCTCCTGGGGATCAGAACTGGAGGAGTAACTTTCAGAGATAAAAGGAACCACAACCTGCACGTGCCCTTTAGTTCCCAAGGTACCTGCATCTATCATAGGTCTCCTCATCTGAATGCATCTCCTGTCCATATAAGCCCTAGCTTCAACATTGTCAAGAGCATTTGAGATTAGGTCGTGGTGGGAAATAAGCTTATCAGAGAAAACATTTTCGTTTTCGTGATTTACAGGAAGGGTATAGGCAGTAATATTATTTACCCTGCATGCAGACACATGGCCACTTTCATTAGCCGGTGTGCCGCATTTGTTGCTGCTGGCAAGCTTGTCACAGTAGTCCCCGTTGAGCTCTAGCACCCGCTTCACAGCTGACTCGGACTTCATCTTCGATACATCCTCAGTTCTAAACAGAAACTGTCTATTCAGATTACTTTGCTCAATTGAGTCCATGTCAGTAACACTGATCAGCCCATCAGCTCCAATTCCACTGCATACAAAATTCTTTAGATTCTCACAGCCAATTGCTCCCGCTCCTACTAGGAATATTTTCATTTCCCTTATCCTTCTAAACCCATCGTCTCCAAACAGTTTAATCATATCATAATAACGACTGGATTCGTCCCCATTGCTGTCATTCTCAATATAGGCATCGGAACAATCAAAGTAGTAGAACTGCTGGACAGGTGTGAATTTGGAACTAGCCGCCTTGATTACTTCCTGAGCTGCAAATCCTCCGATGACTGAACACACAGGTGGTATTAAACAGCCCCTTGTTTTACTAAATTGGCCTTCTAACATGTCTTTCTGCTCAAAATTATTACGTATCTCTCCGTAGATAAACAGGTCGTGAAGTGCTCTGGGCTTCTTTACATTGCTAAACTCAAAATCCATTATTTGAGGAGACTCTAAAGACTCCCTAAGACTTTTAAATTCAATTGTGGAGGGTATCTTTACCTGCTCATAATCTCCTCCTATCTTTAGCTTATCACAAGAATACCCTTCCAATTTGAATTGGCTTCTGCTGATTACTGACACACCATATATTGCATTATCAATCTTAACGCTATTTCCAGTCTCGAAAGAGTGATGTGTGCCTTCCACAATGGTAAGGACACCCTCGGGCGTTATATCATTTATCACCCCAGTACTTGCAGGCTCACCGTCCTTGTCTATGCATGTGTGGAGTTGAAAATCACAGAACAGCTGCGTAAATAATCCTGACGCATTGGCCATGACAAATTTTATGCCTTTTAAATGGCATAGATCATTTAAGCGCAAATTTTCCTCTAAGGATTGATTAACGGAAACAACAATGTCGTGATCCTCTAGTTGAATGTTCTCTGCTACTTTTATTTCCACGTACTTATTCAGATTCCTTAACTGTTCGAGAACTGCAGAATCCCTTTGCTGCCCCAGATTATCCCTGGAGAAGTAATATCCTGAGCACATAGAGCGAGGTGTTACTGCTCCTTTATCATAGATGGAAACATATCTTATTCCTGCTAGACATACATTCTTGGCTATTTCCTGACCTAATCCATCCATTCCTATAATGAGCACTTTGGTACCCATCATCTTAACCATTGCCTCATGTCCGATGACATAGAGCTGTCTACTGTACAGCTCTTCGTCAACCCTTAGATTTTCCTCATCGCCGTTACTTTTTGCATTTCTTTCTTTATTGTTTTCTTGTGAAGAGTTCATGCAGGGCATGGATTTTTTTGTTTTTATGCAAAATAATACAAATAAAAAGTAAAGTAATGTCTTTATTTATGAATAGCCCGAGTCGTCTCATTATCAATCACAGCATTCTGACTTAAATAGCTAACTGAAGCAAGGTATCTGTCAAAGGCTTAGTACATTTATTGATGACACCTTAAGCATCGTTAATTTCTTTTCAGCTTCTAGTGCTGGATTGTAATTCTCTCCAGCAAGTACCATTCCATCCTGAACAGCAAATCTGTGCACCTGCAGGTTTTCGGTGTAGTCCAAAGCAGGCTAGAAAATCCAATGAATGCAAATGGCCGATAGTGGGGTATCACTGGGAAGTATGGCAGCAAATAGTAGCTTTCTATGACAGCCCTACCCTTTTCCTTATTTCCGCCATCCTCATAACTTTTCTTATAAATCTTCTCCATTCCCCAATCGTTTTTTCAATCTTTTCAATCTCCTCAACCATCCCTTTATAATACTCTTTTTCTTTAATAAAGTAATTGGTTATGAAGCAGTACTTCTTTTCAATATAAAACCCTCTTTTAATTTTTTCCTTTCCTCGGTGACCAACGATGCATTCTGCAAAATTAAGATTCAAGTCAATGGCTATTTGAGGATCATAGTCAACATAAACACAGCCTTTTGGGGTGAAGTTGGGATGGAAGGCATCCATGACTGAACCAGTGATACTTCTGATGTCAACAGGTTCGGTTTGAAACTCTGCATACAGCCTCTTGCCCTTATATATTCTATAAGGTTTGGTAACATCGTACTTGTTATCTTTAAGTACTCTTCCCTGATAATACCATCCGTTCTCCGTCCTTAGTTTTACAATGTTATTCTTTGGAAACACGGGCTTGCCTTTATAATATCCAAAGACTGGTCTTTTTGGATAGATTGTTTCGTTGAAACGACAACACTCTTCTAACATGTAAATAGGGTGTATTTTAATTTTAGACAGGCACTGAGGAATAGATCTCAATCTCTGGCTATCTAGCATGCTGAATGCACTACAATCAAATCGATTCATTTCAAAGCTATATCCATTACCTTCTCTATCTTTGCGTCCAAATACCTGCTCTTTCTGCACAAATTCGTTTATGATTTTGACAAAAAAGTGATGGTGTGAGTACTTTTTAGAAAAATTGACAGTTTGATCGGAAATAAAGCCATTGAAATCGACAGAAAAACACAATCCATCCACCGTAGATTTGTATTTAACGACGGTACTGTTCAGAGAATATTCTAGAAATGACTCTATCTCTTTTCCGAGGCTAAAGTAGATTCTACAGGGAATACTGTTTGCATTTAGATTTACAAAAAGTGAAATATTCCCATCAAAAGGAGGAGCGAAGCAATGTTTCGGGCCTTTAACACCAGGGAACAGGCCACAGAACATTCCCATGCATGCGCTATTTATACCACCTTCTGAGATGTCCTTGCAAATATTCTCGAATTTCTCGTAGTCATTCAAGCCACCAGCAAGGATGTATTCCCTTTCCATTCTCAGACACTCAATTATAAACAAAAACTGGTGAAGAATCTTCAATTTTGATAGCTTATTGGATGCTCTTGTTTTTTTCTGCGCCACGGTAAGTTTTAATTCATCAACAGAGGCCGAGTCCCAGCTTTCACTTGAACTATTTTTCATACACTGTCTTGTTTGAGGGCAGCGAAAGAGCATAATATCACATGTCAGCCAGATGCAAAGCAAATACTAAATGTAAGTATAGGATGTTAAGCAAAGCATTAAGTAGACAGTCAAATATGATTTACTTTAGCCGTAAGAGTAAATAGCATCTAACTAAAAACAGTCAACATTAACATAAAGATAGACAAGGTTGTAATAAAGTCAAACTGTGAAGTAGAAAAGGAAAGTAATTTAATAATCACCTGTAACCTCTGGCTTAGATATGCCATAGAAGGCCCTCTTCTCTTCGGCAGTCTGGAATCTTCCTCTTCCATTCTTAGAGGATGTGTCAATAAACTTGATGACGATATCTTCTGTAGTCTTCTTGGGTAGAAGTGACTTCCTAAGAGTCACTACTCTTTTACGCGGACCTGTTACAGGCCCCTTAACCATGATATAGTCATTCTTAACACTACCATAGTTAACAAAGCCACCCAAGGGATTGATGGTCTTAACTGTCAGGTCAAAGTCGGTCACAACCGGGTCATTTCCGTTTCCTATAGCATAGACAGCCAGATTCATCTGGGTTCTCCTGTGGAAACCAAGCTGACCTGCCCTAGCTACCGAATACATAACTCTTGAGGGATGCCACGCACCAATACAGGCCACTTTACGAATGCCCTTGTTAGTCTTTCGCGGGAGTATCCTGACTCCCCATCTCTTAATAACACCCTGGAACCCCTTACCCTTGGTTACCCCAATGGTGTCAATCAGCTCATTCTCGGAGAATACCTCGGAAATGGGTATTTCCCTTTCAAGTCTTTCAATAGCAAAATCAACCTTCTCCGAAATAGATCCACCATTCACCTGAATTTCAGCAATATGCGCCTTCTTCTGATGGATAGGCCTTATTTTATAAACTTGGGAGTGTGCAAGAACTCTTATAACATCCGATGTCTTCTTGAGTTCCTCAATATCGTCTTGGCTGAATCCTACAGTCTTTCTAAGGTCAGTGTACTTCATTCCCGGCACAAATCTTTTTGTGAACATTCTTCTGATCACTCCCTCGCTCATGTGCTCGGCAAGGACAACCTTGGTTCTCTTAAGACCACCGATGGTCCTTTGATAGCCTACAACACCGTGGATGACCATGGGCGGAGTCTCAAGAATGGTAACAGCTTCAAGGAGCTCCTTGGTCTGAGACTTGGTCTTGCTCTTAACCTCCTTGGACCGTATAACATGTGTCATACCAGCCTTGTATGAAAGAAAGGCTGTAAGATGGCAGGGCTGGGTGGAGTCATCCCTTGGAAATGCTTTAATGCTTGGTCTGATAGACGAGGCTCTCCTCTTTGGTCTGAACTGCAGCGAGCCGTGTCTTGGCGCTCTGAACTTTCTGCAACTCATTGGTGGGCAAGAAACGAAAAATTTTAAAAAATTTTGCACTTTGAAACTAAAAACAAATTCGATGCGCCACTTGAATGTTATATTTAAAATGCAAAGCCATAAATATTTCATAGTGCTTTTCTATTGTGAATCATCCAGTCAAATATACCATCATCCTCCAGTCCCCGAGATCTCAGTCCATTTTCAAACAAAGACTCAAGATACTCGTAATTGGGACTTTCCTCATACTGAAGATTCCGCACATGAATCAAATAAAGATAGATTTCGTTTGGAAGACCGTCACATAGATTATATATTGTTGTGCGCTGTTTAACCTCCTTTATTAGTGCATATTTTTCAAACTTATTTTCTGCCTTTAAGCCTTGCCAGGGCAACTGTCCTTTCATAAAATAAACTAGCATAAACCCAAGGCTTTCAAGATCATCTCTTCTACTCTGCTCGTATCCAAGATGGGTGTTTAATGATGCATATCGTGCTGTTCCCGTTAAATTCTTGTCTTGTTTTAGCGGTCGGTGCAGGAGTGTGCTGGGATTTCTAAACTCCTTAGATAGGCCGTAGTCAATAAGATAAAGCTTGGTCATAGACTTGTCGGTCATAAAATTATCAGGCTTAATATCTCTGTGAATGTAGTGTCTGTGGTGTAGATACTCAATTCTATTCAGGCAATACTTTCCTATCATAAAAACTGTTTTTAACGAAAACATTCGGTTCAGTGAACTATAAAGCTTTTCTAGACTGGCTCCTAGCAGCTCCATGGTCATGCAGTTAAGATAAGAACTGTCTATCTCAATCTTTCCATATTCGTACACTTTTGGAGTATTTATGCCGGCTATTCTCCTGTATACGGAAAATTCATGTTTAAGCTGGAAAATTGAGGTCTTTTTCTCAATCTTCAAGGCTAGTTTCGTTCCAGTGACCTTATCTATGCATTCGTAGATTTCTCCAAAGGCTCCTTGGGAGACCTTGGAGACGATTTTGATGTTCTTCAGCTCTGTTGACATACTCCAGACTGGGAAAATTTTGAAAATGTAAAATGCTTCGAGTATATAATCAATCACACAGATAATATTACAGAAAGCACAATCTTGTGCTGCAGTATTTGTGATACTGGCTGGATGTAATATAGAACAGTCAGGTATGCCTTTGTGATAACACCACAATGACAAATCTTTGTTAGTTCTTTTCAGTCGAATTGCTTTATTTAAATAAAAAATCGTATGAAAGAGTGTCTAGCTGATTGCAAGTTCCATATCCTTTGTATATAGTTTGAATTAAACAGCATGGCTAAGTAAATCAAAACTTCCATTATGTCTGACATTCTTGCAAAGATTCATCCCCAACATAAAATGCTGAGATCTCTCCAAAAACAAAAACTAGTAAAAATGTTAAGCCCAGAAAACCCACCATTCAAGATTCTAATTCTGGATAGTGCTACCCAAGAAATTCTGGGCCCAATATTGAAAGTTTCTGACCTGAGAGATGCAGGCGTAACTGCACACTTTTTGGCTTCTATGTCGCGGTCACCAATAAAGGATGCTCCTGCTCTTTATTTTGTAAGCTCAGTAGAGTCGATAGAAAAAGACCTGAACAGAGATTTGTACGGCTCGTATTACATCAACTCCTCATTTGCCTTTAAAAGAAGTGATTTGGAGAAGATGGCTGCGGTGGCCAGTGGAAAGCAGATTGCCTTGAAAATCCAGTCCGTGTTCGACCAATTCCTCCAATTTATTTCACTTCAGGACGACCTGTTTACCCTAAACATCACAAGTAGCTTTACAAATAGAAATACAGATGCCTTTCTAAGACGTTCGGTCTCGGGATTGATGAGTGTGTTTTGCACCTTGAACGAAGTGCCGTTTATTATTTCAAAAGAGTGTGAGTTGGGGAAAATGCTTGAGCAGAAAATTAAAAACACAAAAATAATCAAAGGCGGAATAAAGAAGCCTCTTCTTATCATTCTGAACAGAGACTTTGATGTATCTACGCCCACAAAACACGTTATGGGATATGTAGAGCTAATTCACGACATTTTTAATATTAAGTTAAATAAGGCAGAGAACATTAACATCGACACTGATTGCGAATTCTACAAAACAAACATGTTCTTGGATTTCCCAACAGTTGCTGACACTGTTAACAAAGAGTTGCATGCGTATAAGAAGGAACTAGCCTTGAGAAGCCTAAATGAAAAGAGCGACAAAGCGCAGATCCAGGCAGCACTTGAGAGCGCGCCACATTTGCAGAAGAAAAGCGAAATAGTCAACAATAACCTGACATTGTGTTCAAAGGTTTTAGACCAGGTGAAGGAAAGAAAAATGGATGACTTTTACAGCATGGAAGAAAACTTTGATCAAAATGAAATAATGGAGCTGTGTAGCTGTGGAACAGACAATGACATACTACGGCTATGCATTCAACTGATCGGATCTAAAAACTCGGATCTGATTGAACCTATTTTGCAGAAGAGAGGTATTGACTCAAAGATTGTAAACTACTTCAGAAAAATGATTAAGAACGAACAAGGATTTGGTGCAAAAGTCAAAAGCTTACTTTTCAAAAAGAGTCTTCCAATTTACTCACAGATAGAATCAATATTTTCACAGATTAAGAATCAGAATTTTGATGGATTGGAGATCTACGATCCGTCATACACTGGAATTTATCAAAGCGAGATTTCAAGAATAGTTGTATACATCAACGGCGGAGCAACATATTCTGAATTAAAAAGCTTGAAGGAGCTAGAGCAAGTTATAAAGATACCGATAGTTTTAGGTGGGAGTGAGATCCTAAATGCAAATGAGTTTATCAGGCAAGTTTCAATTGAAAACCAATGAAGTAAATCTAGCATATTGATTCATAGATGTTTTTCGAACTTTTGTCCATATTTTGCAGCATATTAAAATTTTTGAAAGAGGCAACGCTGATTACGAAACACATCCAGAAAATACATTGGAGATTACATTTGCGCATCTTCATTTTATCGGAGCACTATTTAGTCCTATTCAAGTTTACTGATTGGATAGAGGTTTGAGGTTGTTTTTGGATATAAACATGTCGAAGTACTTCCTAAATCCCTTACAGTCTGCAAACTCATATGCTTTTTGGGTAATTTTCCCCAGCATTCTCTTGTTTTGGATTTTTTTTGCACTGCCAACATCTTCTTTGAACGTTTCCAACTTTAGCTCAAGTTTCCGAAGCAAATACCTGACCCAAAGCAGATTGGATTTTGGGCTAAAGGCTTTCCAGTTTGATTTGCATGCTTTCCTTGCTTCCACATATATCTCAAACTGCATATCAACACTTCTATCCCCTTCAAACAGCCATTCTTGTGCATTCAAATCTGTATATACAATTTTATCCGTCTCCAGCCTGGCAAAGTTAAAATCAATGATATACACCATCGAATTCTTGATCATGATGTTTCCCCAGTGCATGTCCCTGTGCTCAAATTTGAATCTTTCCTCTAAACTACAGATGGCACTTAGGAGCTGATCAATAAAATCAACGACTTCTGTAAAATTTTTAAATCTATACTTTTCCAAATCGCATCCACAGTCATTCATCACTAGTACTCCATAGAGTTGATCGTCGTTCGACTGTGAGGGTCTAGGGTTGTCTCCATTCGCAAAACTGTCCCAGGCTCTGAGGTACTCCTGCGAATATCCGCCTTTAATTAGCAGTCTATCTACAAGCTTGCATACTCCGGCCTCACTTTTCAGAACATCCAAAATGAATGCTTCCTTGCAAAACGATTCAATGCTATACCATTGATTAAAGGGAATGATTTTGTATATCAGATTCCCAATTTTGTAGACTTCTGAGAACGATGCTTCTCCAATCTTCACAGGATTCGAGGGCATTTCGTCGAAGGTGACTGTTCGTAGATTTAGCATCGCTTTGAGCTCTTCAAATGAATAAGCATCCGAGTTGTCTTCCTTCGTCTTTGATCTAATTTGCAATTTACAAAGCCTATCTTGCTTGGGCATGCTTGCTATTTTAATATTGACTTGGCTAGAACTAACTCCAATGCCATGCACGCTCTTTGGAGTAGGCTCTAGCTCTACTTTCTCGGAAATAATCCTATTTTTAATAGTTTCATTTACAAATAAAGCAGTTTCACCATCTCTATCAAAACTGTGACTAGAAAATCTCCTCAGCACACCATTTTTGTGAATGTTCTTGTCATTGATGGCCCCCGAAGAGCTGAGCTCGTCCATTTCACTATTTTTAATTGTTTTTGCACTGTCTGTCAAGTATTTATCGCAATCTTTAAAACAGCTGTAAATATTTTCCCGACTAGTCATATTTTGCTTAAGTTCAAAAAAGTTTTTGAAAAACCACACTGTCTTCAATATGCCTGCTGTTGATATTTTTGATGAATTCTGTGCTGATATCTACGACCCACTGATTGCTGATATTTTGAACATTTCCTTCATCCTCCCAGTCACATTCAATGCACAGCGTTGGGAATTGATGATCCATTAATTCACTATTGGCATTCTTGAATGTTAAAGGATCGTCCATAAAATAATGAGCACACTTTTCCTTTGTTCGATCTTCAAGAATATTCCCTGCAAATAATCCCCGTTTTGTATCATCACACAAATCTATTTCTGATTCTGTATAATTTTTGGGCACAATCTGTACTTCAGTATTAGAATTGTTCTGAAAATCATAGACATGGCTGTCAGATTTTTGCATATTTTCGGAAATTTCCATCATCATTATGTCGCAACCAACCTCACAGTTGGATAGCAAATCATTAAAGGATTTCTTTTTTAACTTATTGCTATTTTGAGGCTCAGCAAAATTCAGGAAATCAATTTGAGAAGAGCTTCGAGATAAACTAGGATGGATACTAGGATGCACATGCTCGTGCTCACAAGAATGGCCATGTGGCAATTTGTTGCTGTTTATACTAAGGAAACTCAGGCTCTTTGTGGATTTTTTGAATTTATCTTGTCCAGACTCATCCATCTAGGGCTAAACAAACTGCTGTATGAATCAAATAGAAAGAGGATGTATTTGCGAGCAGATATGATGAATAACCATGTCTGCCAATCTACGTGAAAATAGCGCCATTTTGAGCCATATACAAATGCACAGCTAAGTAAAGCTATTATTTGTTGGTTTCTTCAGGTTTAGGAATTATTAAGTGAAAGCTTCTGTGCCAGCAGTTACCTGTAGCAACATACTCGACGATTTGTTCGTGAATGCGGGACTTATGTTGAACAGAGGCTATCTGAAAATACATCACCTGCACTGAGAGTACCCATACCAATGGATAGCCAGCTTAAAGCTGAAATTGAGTTGATATTGCAAATGAAGGACGAAGAACTACAAAAGAATGTTGCATCTAAAATTGCAGTTTATTTGCTCACTCTTCCTCTTCCGTCCGAAGAGTACAAAGACCTTCTACAATGTTTTACAGACAGAATATTTAAAATTTTGCCAGCTTCAAGCATTCCGCGGCTGTTGAAGGAGAAGTTAGGACTGAACAAAAGCTGGCAAAGGAGAATACTGTTTGCAGATACGCATGTGCATATTCTACCTAAAGTACATCCACTGAGTCTTGAAGGCAGGGAGCAGCAGTTGAGAGAGGCCGGAACATTGAGTATAACAAACACTGATGTACAACGTAAATTCATTCCCAAGCAGGCATTCTCACAAGGACTGCCAGGTGCTACAAAAAGTATTGATCTGCTTCCATCAACCCTTTCAAACAGGTTTTGTCCTGAAGTTAATGAGAAAATTCCATTTAGGTTCTCCAAGCCAAAAATAACCATTCAGCAAATTCTTGATAATCCCTTGGTATTGAAAGAATTTGAATGATACGGCCATATTTAACTGTGATTAATTTGGATATGAGGCTTAAGGATCATAAACTTGTTCGCTTGCTATATACTTCTGTTTGCCTCCATATCATGGCGCTATTCTATGATCAGGTGGCACTAGTGCTTCGACACTCTCCAATGACTAGTCTATCAGTAAATACAATGTGGAAATCTAGTTTCATAGATAAACAATTTATTGAAAATATATAGTATATTATAGAACAACAAAGTTGTAAAGTGCTTTTACTACATTATGAATAGGATGGGGATGGCATTTTCCCGTTCGATAAACTGTATATAGCATGTTGGATTACTTATCATGTGCTTGTTCAGTTGATTCATTCTCCTCACTATCTTCTTCTTTTTTCTTTACAAGCTCCAATCCAAGGCCAACTATCAGGCCTTTTACCATTCCGACTGCAAGCCAGTAAAGGAAGAAATTTAACAAAGTGACCAGCACCAGGAATAGGAGCTCCATAAAAAATCCTAAATCTTGTTGAGTAATAAGCACCCTTTCAAGAAAATGAAGTAGGTGACAAACAGCACTGCATATAAAAATATAGTGCGGATTGATGATCATCTTGGTACTTACCACACGGGTAAAACCCAAATATACTACTGCCAAAGCAATAGATGAGATCAACTGGATCCATTGATTTTTGAGAAAGGGGAAGGTCTCTAGGAACTTAAAATATTCCGTGAGATCTAGTCCGAGAAGAGCATTTGAAGGTATAAAGTGGATAGCTGTATGAAAACATATAAAAGGAAGCGTTCTAAATAATGTGCTATAGTGTCCTCTTTGATCTAACTTTATACTATAGGTGACTATTGATAAAGCAATGAGTATCATGGGAATTAGGTACAGTAAAACTATCGAGGCATGTGTCAGAAACGATGATATGCTATTGTTGTAATCTTTCATGGCTGTTTTCATGGGTGTGGTAATCTTGTCCAGAAAGTTTAAAATGGATTGAAAAGACTTCGAAGCAGACTCAAAATAGGGAAGCATGTTATTTTTCCATTCGCTTAGGACCTCCTCGATAAAAGAAGTTCTCGATTTTATAAAATCAGCTATTGGAGAGAAGATGTTCTTCTCCACAAGGTCGAATATGTCGAGCTTCTCTAAAATGGGAATGAGTGAGGCACTTTCAAAAGCATTTTGAAAAGTATTTTCAATGGAGGTTTTAGTTTCCATGCCTGCCATTCTAGGGAGAAAAATTTTGCTCAAAGAGAGTATGACCGGCAAATTCATTAAATAGTATCAAAAATACAAAGAAAAAGAGCCAAATCCAATAACCTACAATTACATTAACTGGAGCAATGCTCCTACAATCTGCCTATATAAAATTCGCATCCAAAAGCCAAAATAAGTTGGCATTAGCAATCTAATATTGGGCTTCAGACACTGAGAGAGTGTAAACAGGCAGATTATAACTGTGTGTATGGCATGATGTCCTTCAGCATTACATCTATTGTTGGCTAAACTCGATTAATATCTGGTCTAACGCCATCAAATTATACCAACTGTGGTGTCGTGCATCGATAAAAGATGTGCACAAATATCAGTACAAAAGTTAGGCAAAGAATAATTGTGAACGCTGCTCTTTTGAAGAAGCTGCCATTGGCTATTGATATTTCACTATTTAGTTTGCTGTACAGCTCATCAGTGGAGCTCTGACAAGTGCAGATACTATCTATTCGTTCGTCCTGAAGCATCAAGTTCTCATGAATGGCCTTTTGAACAGCCTCTATCTTCAGCAGTCTCTGCCGGGTTGCCTCATATTGCATAGCTTCGACAATGCTTCTGCTTTCCTGCTCTAAAATCTGGTTTTCGACCACCTTCTTGAATGATACGGGCCTTTGTGGCTCTAGCTCAATCTCCAAGCTTGCAGAGTTAGCCTTTCTTGAGGCCAAATACTTTGAGGTTTCTGCAATTTTTTTGCTAATAATCAGCTTTATCCCATCAAAATGCATTTGCAAATCCTCTGTTCCTGTAATTTTCAGGCTATCAAAAAGCGTTGTGTTCTTCAGAACTAGCTCATTGAGTTCTTTGTCAAGCACAAGCAATGTCTTGTAGGAAGTGGACCTGGCCGCCCTAGAGTAAATATCCTGGATAGTTGAATAGATCTCTTCATAGAACTTCTGCTTACTGGCCAGATTATTTTCGATTCGAGGCTTTTTCAATAAGTGAGAAGAATTCTGTTGTTCTATCCATGGGCATGGCAAATGCAATAGCCAAAACCAAGATACACAAAGAAAATAGGTTAGTCCCAATCAGAACGCTTTCTCTTTCTGCACATACAAAATACCATTATAATATCTGTGCTTTGATTGTTTGTGAACCAAAAGATCCGCCTGGCCATGTTGCTATTAGTTTTGTGCTAATATTTAAATGAATAGCCCTTCAATGGCATATATTGTGTGCAGAAATACTGGCCTGTATTTGGATTTCTGGCTCTCTGTTTCTTTAAAATTTTCTTAAAATTTTACACCGCTCATGGCAAGAGATCATACTTCCAAATGCGAACTGGAAGTAAGAATCAACATTGCAGATGATCCAAATGACTTGCTTGCTATATACAGAGAAAACAATGCTTTTTTTCAGGAGGTTATTTCTAAGCTACTCAACTTGAGAAAATACAGTCACTTTTCTATCGTTTGGAGCGAAGCATCGGCTATTCTCAGTCAAGATTCCAGATCTCTCATTCTGGCGCTGAATTTAATAAGATGTAATGCAAAAGAGCTGTGCCAGGCTGAGGAGGCTGATTTTCTAATCAGAAGCTTGCTAGATCTTGCTTTGCAGTACTCGAATACGTTTGAAGCATTTAAAATTTGCCAAACAATTTCCGAGCTGATAGTTCAGAACAAGCAATTTCCATCAAAAGCCATGGCAATTCTCTATTTTCAAATCATTTCGTCTCTTTTTAAAGCCAGCAGCAATGCTTATTCGTACCTTAATGCTCTTCATCTTCTGAACGAATTGGAGCCCATAAATATTAGGAAGGGGGAGTTTGAGTTCTTGAAGGAGTTGGCAATGGCTAAATCTGAGCCCTTTGCGAAGGATCTGTTTTGCGATATTAGACCTAGAGAAGTCAATGCCATTTCAGTAGGTCTCGAGACCTCTGAATATGTTTTTGATGAAAAAATTCGTTGCATTCTCGATGCTTTTAAAACGGGAAGTAGCCTTGAAAATTCATTCTCCAATGTTGCCTTCCTACTTAAAAATTCTATTCCTTTTACAGTTGATCAAAACATCGTAAAACTTCAGAAAGCTTCGAGTGAGGGGTTCACTTCAATCATTTTTAATATTACGAACCAGTACGTACCTGACATCATTGCTCAAGAGCCTGTGGATATGCAAACCAAGGAGCCTATTGAGAAGAAGAAAGCTATTGTGGCAAAAGACAAGGAAGAAGTAGTGGTGCCCACAAGATCCAAGACTGAATTTAAGAATAGATTTACTGTGCCGTATAAAAGGTCGAAATTATTTAAAATGTACATGCCTGTTAGGTTTGAAGATATCCATTATAGCGAGAGAAATGCTAGAAGAGAAGAGTTTAACACCAGTCAGATGGACGAAAAGTTGAGGGAGAGAGAGTTTCTTCTTTCTTACAAGGACGTTGTCGAAGATCTTATTAATGAGCTGAGGAGACTGCAGGAGACAAAGGCAAACAACGAAAGGCAAGTTTTACTTGAGAAGGCTAAGGAAGATGAGGAAAGAATTAGGCAAGAGCAAAGATCAAAAATGTGGAGAGTGCAAGGCAAGACAGAGCAACAAAATTTGGAATGCCTAGAAAATAAATCTTCGGTGAACTTCATTGCTCGAAGTACAGGCGAGCCTATCCATGATGGAATTTACGTTCCAAAGTTTTCAACACTGAACTATACGTCAAGCAATATTGCAGAAATAGCTGAGAAAGCAGCAGAAAGTGCCTATCGTCCGCCCATTCATTTTTCATACAAAAAAGATGTAGATAAAAAAGAGTCAGTCGAGCAAGGGTCTTGGAGGAAGAAGAGGTTAGAAAATACAAAAAATTAAATAAAACTTGATTTAATAGGAAAACCATATCTTTTTCAATATGTACCAAGTATATTAACAGCCAGAATTGATACCTGCAAAGTAATTTTGCTTTTAATGATTATTTATTGCTTTTTGACTTCTGTGATCGGGCCAATGCCAGCCACCTTGCCTCTTCTACTCCTGTACCCAACAAGGGCCACCATTGCTATAACACAAAGAATAACTATCAAAGCAAACGTGTCTATGATCTTCTTTTTCTTCAAACTCGTGATCTTTTCAATCTTTTTGAATTGAAAATTAACGCTCAGTGCATCGAGTGGGTCTTCCTGGTTGAATAGCTTGCTTCTGAAGTTGTTGGACTCTAGAAAACTGACATGGTTTCCTATAAACTCGGCCTTGAGTGGAGTCTCACTGTCGTGTCTCAGCTTGAAAAAGTTTATTTCTGCAATCTCCTTTTGATTAACCGGATCCTTAAAGTTTTTAATTCTGATTCTTCTTCCCTCGGTCGTTATGACCATTTCAAAGACATACTTGCACAGCTGCTTAGCATCATAGCAGTAGTATACTGTGTTTCCTGACTTTGAGTCTTTCTCTTTGCAGTGCACTCGTGCTAGGTAATAGTCTGTCCCCCGGGCATGCGAGTCGTATATCAAGTCTGCAAACTTTTTCTGCGTAAACACTTCTGTTTTTGCCGCATCTAGTGCACATCTTGTTGTTCCTGTCTTTTCTAGAACATATGCCATAGTTTCCAAGGTTTTGTATCATTTATTTTATAATATGATACAATGTTTTAGAAATGACTGCTACATAGACAACCAATGGCACGAGATAGTTTCTAAGGATGTGTTTGCGAATACCGTTCGTTTAGATTCCAACGGCGCCGGTTATATTAAACTTAAAAACTAAGTTATGAAGATGTCGAAGGGTGCATGGCCAATCTGCAAACGATGCTTGCTAGCCAGTCTTTGGTATGGAGGGATCATGTTGCAGAGATGCTGATTACGATGTGTTCATATTTCAGCTCTATTCAGCAATATCTTTAACCGATGTTCTTGAGTGAAGTTTTTAAAAAAACTTTACCCATGGAGGAAAGTTTTAAAAGTCTCAATCTTTGCTCCCTTGTCGAGATTGCTACCTTGAAGATCAGCTGATTGGCCAAGAGGCGAGGATCCGAGGATTTATTTCTACAATGAGGACTACTCGCTCCGTTGTTTTTTTAACCGTTAGGGACCGTTTGGATACAGTACAAGCGATTATTGTCAAAAACAAAAAGTTTAATGAGGATTTGTTCTCTCTGAAAACGCTGTGCCCGGAGTGCTATGTAGAATGTGTTGGTAAAGTCAAGGGTGTCAACCCACTAGTTTTTAGCTGTACCAAGCAGAATATTGAAATTGAACTGAGCTCTTTGCAAGTCTTGGGCCCTGTCATAGAGCAACTACCATTCAGTCTTAAGGATGCCTCAGCAACGGAGGAAGAAAGAAAGGAAAACGAATCTATCTGTGCCGTTGCATACAACATTAGACTTGACAACAGATTTCTTGATCTCCGGATGCCCCAGACACAGGCTATAGTTAGAATTATGGACGGTGTGATGTCGCTGTTTAGAGAATATTTGAGGAGGCAGAAATTTATTGAAATTAAAACAACAAAGATCATCCAGTCTGGATCTGAGGGCGGATCCAATCTGTTCAGCATTGACTATTTTGACAGGAAAGCATTTCTGGCACAGAGCCCGCAGCTGTACAAGCAAATGGCTATTATTGGGGGATTGAAGCGTGTGTTTGAGATTGGACATGTTTACAGGGCTGAGCAGTCAAATATTAATAGATATCTGAGTGAGTTTACAGGCTTAGATATTGAGATGGAGCTAGAAGGAACGTATGTTGATGTCATCAAATTTATTCACGCAATATTTGTATTCATTTTTGATTCGCTGAAAGGCGAATATTCTAGGGAGCTCGACATTATCAGAAAATACAGGAGCTTCGAGGATATAAAATATGGCAAGGATCCCTTGGTTGTTTCTCATAAGGAATGTGTGGACATTTTGAAGAAGAAAGGCCAAAATATTTCATATAATGAAGATTTTAACAGAGAGCAGGAGAAGATGCTTGGAAGTGAGATTAAAGAAATGCATGGGACAGATATATTTGTAATTATAGGCTATCCTGCATCTGAAAGAGCCTTTTACACTTACGTTGATGAGGATGGGTCTACCAGGTCCTATGATTTTATTTTAAGAGGTGAAGAGATACTGTCTGGCGCGCAACGAATAACCTCGTATGAGAAGTTGAAAGCAGCTATACTCAGAAAGGGCATTCCTGTTGAGTCGCTGAATAACTATCTTGAGCCATTTAAGTTTGGTGCGCCGCCTCATGCTGGATGTGGAATTGGTTTTGAGCGTCTTCTGAAAAGCTATTTTGGATTCGACGATATCCGATATTTCTCCCTCTTCCCAAGAGATCCAAACCGCATTTATCCATGAAGTAAATAATTTCCACTATATTTGGCCACTAGTTGGCATTATCTTTCATCAGATGAGGATGGCTAACTTAGCTGTCAAATAGCAATATTCACGATGGTGCTGTGTAAAACAGCTCGGTGTGTTTATAGATTAATCACTTATTTGAATTAATATTTGGTTTATCAAAATTTTGTTTTTTGAGCTGAAAATCAGCATTTAAACATTTTGCTGCATAGACTGATTTTTAATTTAAATTTATTATCATGCGGTATAAATAGATCAAATGCATGATGCACACTGCTATACAAAATTAGAGAGATTGGTTAGCTTCAACGCATGCTTTGCTACTCCTATGCATTTCTATCACAGATCTTCCAGTGTTGTATTTTACAATTGCATTTTCTTTATGAGCATAGTTGAACAACGTTAACTAAATAAGATGCCGGGCTTGCTTTGCAATTATGTCATTTGCCAAAAGTGCGCTTGAAGATGTACCTTTATTTTTCTATATTTCTGTTCCAGAAATACTTTCCAGCAAATTAAAAGAGTTAAAATTTTGATGTGTTGAAATTCAGCACATGTACATTTAGTAAAGACGAAGTCTACTACGCTACGAAGAGATCACACTGTTCAACCGCGAAAGCAACTGCTCAGCTGTGTATTCAGCATGGTAATACTTCAACAACAATATACTTTTTATTTCCGGCATGTGATAAATAAGCACAGATCTATTTTGCTATATACGAAGCTATAAGTTATACTAAAATTCTACAAATTTAATCAATCACTGGCAATCAAATATTTGAAATGCAATGAAAGATCTTAAGATAAAGAAGACGTTCAAAACTCTCTCAAATAAATAACACTGCACCACACACTATTCATTCATATATTTCTTTTATCAATCTCGATATTCATTTTTCATTTAAACCAATATTTCTATTTAAAAAAATATGACAACAAGGGCATGCCGGAGGAACATCCGCTGGAGCGGTTCAAAAAGATGCTATTTGATGATGTGTCCATGGAGGATATACAGGAGCAGGATGAAGTTGAATGCACACAGGGTCAGTGTTTCAATAATTCCAGGTTTGAGGATAAGTCTCTAGACAAAACCATAAACAATCAGATTACAAATGATGAGAATATTCATCGGAGCAAGAAAAAATGTGGCTATAGCCAGTATATTTCCAGCAAAAATGGTGCTGGATATGATGTACAGCGGGCTAATAACAGTGTGAAGACTAGGTCCCGTACATCTCCGCGCCAACTCGAGATTCTTGAAAGCGTATGCCGAACAACACTAAAACCTAACAAAGAGCTGAGAATCCGACTGGCTAGAGAATTAAATATGACAGAAAGACAGGTTCAGATTTGGTTCCAAAACAAGAGAGCCAAGAGTAAGAAAATGGCAGAGAAGGACGGGCCGTTTGAAAACTTATATGAGATGGGCAGATATGATACGAGGAGCTTTTCAATAAACGGATACGAGCACAGATATCCATATACCAGTCCGTACAAAACTGAATACACAACCAACGTAGACTACACATATCCCCATAGTGTCCAGGACTATGAGAGCAAATGTATGGATGCTATGGAGCCATAGACCAAACAGAGTATCCAGATGTGTTTTATGATTCTAGGTCGTATGTGCCTGAGTACCAGGATGTCCCGTGCGGCAGAAAATTTCCTCCGGTAGGATATTACTATGAATACCATTGTCAAGGCCATTCTCAAAGTTACAAAAGAGAAGGCGATGCCGGCAGTTCAGGACATCAACAACATTTTGATCATCGTGATTCCGAGTTCACAGAGGATTTTTTCTATAGCAGAAATGAAAATTTTAACAGTTCCAATAGCAATAAATGAGATTTAAGTGATATAAAATATATTTTAAGGTGTTAGATTGGGCATTACTAATAAACCGAATGTGCCTGCACCAGAAAAATAGCAGAGTGTTGAATGGCTCTATTTAATTTTAAATTCATTTCCCCAGAGTGGATGGTATTTGAGAGATGGCGAATGCAGAGCAAGAATACACAGGATGTCTTGGAGGTTCTTAAGAATAGGTTAGAAAGCGCCAGCTATGAGGAGGATAGAATAGAAACGCTGCAGAAACTCTATAGCTACTCAATTAGCAATCCCAATGACGTTCTGGATCTATGCTTCGATGCGATTGTTAAATCCATAGAGATGACAGATATCAAGTCCCAGCAGGCTATGATTTTGCACGCACTTTACACCAGCTCGTACAGCGAGCTCATGCTAGAGAAGTTTGTTTCCAAAAATGAGTATTCACAGGTGGTTTTGAGATGTGATGTGCATTTTATTTCTAGAATCATCAGAACAATTAACTCAAACACGTTATATTCATTTCTATCAGAGGAGAACTCAATCACAACAGTTCTTATGAGTTTCATAAAAAATGGATACTTCAAAGAGTTTTGCAGTTTTGTTGGCAAAAATACAACTTTAAAAGAAACACTTGTTTTTGAGGGGGCTTTTGAGGAGCTAATGAAAATCTATACATTTGAAAAGCGTATAATGGCAAGGGAGGAAAGAATCCATAGCTCGAGGATGTGTTTAGTATCTCTGTTAGATGGATCGGCCAAGAATCAGCAGTATTTCTTCGATTCTGATCTTGTTCAAAGCATCACTAAAGAGCCTATTGCTGATGATATTGAAATGCTTCAGATGCTACTGAATCCTGAATTAAAAAACTATGCAATTTGCCAAAAAGGACTCATGCAGTGTGGCGTTTTGGAAACAGCCATGCAGCTTAAGGCTTATGGCATTATTTATAGCCTTATCGATTCAAATGAAGAAAATTTCAAGACTTTTATTGAAAACCACTTGTGTTTAGAATCTTTAATAGAAGAGTGCGATAACTCAGTAGAAGCATTTAAGATAGTTGAACTTCTTGCACGATACACATACTTTCCGATTGCTCATGATCACTCATTTAGGATTAATACTCTCCTGTGCATTCTTGGATGTTCATTTGCAGATCTCAACTATCTGATAGTTGATGCTGTCCAAAAAGATAAACTTAATATGGATCATCTGATTTACTTATTATTTACACAAAGCACGATCAGCAGCATCAGGCAATACCTTAACTACGCAGAGTATGAAGAACCGTTGGGCTCAATGTGCATTTTGATCTATCTTTCATTTAGTATCCAGCTAGATCTTTCTCCACACCAACTCATTGCAAAACTAAAATATCTAAGGTTATACTTTCTAAACAACAAAGTTACACTAGATTCTATCAACGAATCAGTAACATCTACTATTGACCAGTATATTCAACAGTTTGGCTGTACTTTTGAAAGAAAGGAGTATTCGCTACCGTCAAAGAAAGATGCAGAGCAAAACACTAGTGCGCCTACTATAAATTCAGTAACAGAGTCAAAAAGTGTTATTGTTGAGGGCGTTAACAATAGAATCAAGAGTTTGTTTAGTAAATTTACAAAGAAAGACCAAGAAAAGCAAAACTATGATTTATAAGGTACTAGAATTTCAACCATGTCGGCTATATGGAGGGGCACGGAGTATGCATGTTTTTGTTAAAATGTCATTTCCATAATGTTGTGTAGAGATTTCAGGTTAACTAAAATCCCAGGCAGTACACTTCTTAGCCACCAACCATAGGTTCCGTTTCTTGTAGCAAGTTCAAAATGTCTTGAAGTATAGCATAAGAATTGCGGTTTTAATACCATAGCACAATTAGCACTGGATGCTCATATACACTTGGCCAGCTATGGGCAATAATTACAAAATAGTCAAACTATTAATTCAAATTAAAGACAGTAGGTGTGGTCAATTTCAGCACTAATAAAACTGCCCTTAGGCCTAAATTTTCTTCATGTGTTGTATTTAAATGTTTCTAAGGGGTTATTTTTCTTTGTGTGGATAAATAATCTATTTCTATTGGTACGACATCTAAAGCATATGAACCATACTAATTTAATCAAAGGATGTATGAAGATATCCATGTGGATATTCTATAAACATATGTTGAACCAGTCAAGTACTCATATGCTTCAATTATTTAATATTGTACCTTATCTCTTCGGTGGGGCTTGTTTTGACATTCAATCCTCGTACATGTGAATCCTTGCCGTCTGAATGGTTGCCTATTATTACAATATGGATATCAAAGACAAAACTGTCAATTAATACAGTCTTCTCGCCTTCTGGCTCACTAAAGCATTGCTTTATAGCCTGTTTGTTGAAGTGAATTATGAGATTTTCAGGAGTGTAGGACTCGTCAAGAGCGTAGGATAAAATAAAGCCTAGGGAGTGGACATAGGTCTTCCTGAGGAATGATATTGTAATAGAGTGTGGAAGAGAGTCGTCCGTGCTCCAAAACTCGTCTCGGTTGTCACTGAGCAGCTCTTTTAAGCCATAGCCTCTTTTTGCAGAACTCAGAACAATCTCCATGATGGATGAATAATTCTGTACTGTAAATAGTTATTGATGAGCAGAAATATGAAGAGATAAGTAGCCCATGCACTAAACGGTCTTAGAAAATAGATTGATAGCCCGTACAGGCAAGCTAATCCAGTGCATCTTCACTTTTGTTGCTGAAAAAATAAAATATGGCATGCATAGATGATGTTCAGGCATGCAGTATTTAATTGGTAGATTATTATTCTTGGTTCTTTTCTTTGCACCATGTGGCTAGACTCAACAAGGAGCAGCACATTTGCATGGAAGTTGATATGATACTTATAATGGCCAAGTGCATATGATGAAGGTCAGTGGTTGATTGTGATTTAGCAATGGAGTATTCTACAATGGGTTAGGAGCTTTGGTCAGAGATGCGAAGTTAGCAAGTTAAGTGTGGCAAGAGCAGATGGTTATTTTAGGTCAGAAGATGAGAGATGTGATAGAACAGAAAATCTGATGTTAACAGCATGAGCTATGGAAGATGGAAGAATGTGGTTTGGATACTGTGCAGCAGCAAGGTTGTGAATATTTAAAGTAACATGTGTAAAAGCGCGGAACATTATCACTAATTAAATTGATATAAGCAACACAGTCTATTGAACTTCTGAAACAATAAATCTTAAGATATTTTATTATTGGTGAGATGTGCACTAGATGCTACCTCGGTATTATTTATCCAAGGACTCATAAGCACAGTCTGTGGTTGCACTTTGGGACGGTTAACACCTGTCAGTATTCTATTTTCAAGCTGGGTCTTTGAGAGGTAGAATTTAATCACAAAGATTTATCATCACAGTGGTATTGGATGTTGACATTGCAATTTAAACTTTGAGATATGTCATTGTGATTTTCCTGTCAAATTTGAATATTTAAAAATTTTCAGGCTATACTTCTTATGAGTAGCTCGGGCAATGATACAAATCCGGACAGCATTCAGAGTCCCAATCCACTTGGAGGTTTTGGAAATGGGGAACGGGCAGTATGTTCTCCACCCTATGGTTTTGAAAGGTATTCTGAGGACGAAACTGAAGTATCTATACAGTACCAAGGCATTACATCTATTGGCAGCAACATCAAGAGACTGGCGAAGCTAGAGAAACTGGATCTCAGTAATAACAGGCTAAAGTCTTTGCCTGACGAAATAGGAGAGCTGAAGAATCTACAGCATTTAGATCTCAGTTATAATGAATTTGAGTCTCTGCCAGCTGTAATATGGGAGCTGAAGAATCTGCGGTACCTGGATCTTAGTAATAACAAGCTTGGGATACTACCAACTGTGATAAGAAAACTAAAGAATTTAGAAATCTTGTATCTTAGCAATAACAAACTTGAGTTATTACCAGCTGAAATAGTAGAGCTGGAGAAACTGCAATACCTGTATCTTGGTGGTAACAGACTAACGTTATTGCCCGTCGGGATAGGGGGGCTGAAGAATCTGCAGTGGTTGCATCTCAATTATAACAAGCTCGAGATACTGCCATCTGAGATAAGAAGACTGGAAAAACTGCAATATCTATATATCCGTGGTAACAGACTAACGTTATTGCCCATTGAGGTAGGACAGTTGGGAAGTTTACAGGAGTTGGGTCTCAATGGCAACGAACTTGAAACATTACCAGTTGAGATAGGAAAGCTGAAGAATCTAAGAACATTGCATCTTGGTTATAACAAACTTGAGACACTGCCAGTTGAGATAGGAAAATTGCAAGATTTTTTGCGATTACTGAATTTGGCGGGCAATAACATTTTAGAGGTTGGAGATGAAGGAAAGACTCTGGGTAAAAGAGAACTGAGGGAGATATTTGGAGGTAAGGTCAAATTTGATGGGGATGTCTTACAAGGACCACAGTGAGTCAATTATTGCAATAAATTGATTTCAAAACTTGGGTAGTTCTTTTTGTTTAAATTATGCTTTGTGTGTCTTTAATTCCGTATGGCAAACAGCATGGTATTAGGTGGGATTCAATGTATGTTGTTCATGTACCTTTAAGGGACTGGGAGACAGGAATGCCAGCTGCACTGCTGATGCTAGATATTGTCGAAGAGTACGACCACTAGCACTGCGGTTCCATGGCCAGTATGCTTAGATGGCCACGGAATGCCTTGGAAGCTATTGCACCAGGACAGTGCAATGACCAATCTTTGAATAAAGGCTACTTAAGTGCTGTAAG